CTGCTGCTCAGTACCAGCAATGCCCTTGATGGAGGGCTTGTGCTCTCAGTGCGTCACTGCCCCTCGCTCATTGGGGTCACTGGCCTAGCTCCTGGAAGCAGCTAAGTTTGCAGTCACTAGTATAAAGCTGGAAGGAAACAGACTGCATCTGACCCGACTGCATCCATTTTGTCTGTGCGGACAAACAGAGATCCCTAGCGATTAGTGAACCCTAGTGTGTAGGTGTTGGATCATCTGTCAGTAGTAGGATCCAGGAAAGAGGATCTAAGAGAGAACATTGTTATCTTTGTACTTTTCATATGTCATATTATATCTTTTTTATCTCTAACCCTGTGAAGTAGGTAGCATTATCCCAATCCACAGATGAGAGAAACTTAAGGTCCCATGGGTCACCTGGGTGGCTCAGTCGTTAAGTGTCTGCCTTCCGCTCAGGTCATGATTCCAGAGTCCTGGGATCAAGCCCCTCAGTGGGAAGCCTGCTTCTCCCTCTCTCACTCGCCCTGCTTGTGTTCCCTTTCTTGCTGAGTCTCCATCAAATAAATAAATAAAATATTTAAAAAGGAAGGAAGGAAGGAAAACTTAAGGTCCCAAAAGACCAAGACTTTCTGCGAAGTTGATGGACAGGTTTGGAGTCAGTATCTGACTGGAGATCATGCTGACTTAAACCCCATGCTCTAAAGCTTTGGATCATTTAAAAATCCCTTCTGCTCCTGATTTCTGTATCCTCCCTTATCTTTATCAGAACTGCTAACTAGTAGCAAGTGAATATTATCTTCTTTCTCTAGCTGCATACACGTAGTTCATTCACTCCCTAAATACTTGTTCAGGACCTGCTGTATAGTAGGCACTAGAAGAGAAGAAGTAAATGATGGCAAAACACTGCCAAGCTCTGATTAAAGAAAAGCCAAGAATAAAAGGATCAGCCTTTAGCTCTTCCCTATCAATAAATTAAAATTTAGGATGGAGACTAACTTATCTCTATCCTTAGAACATCCATTTTCAATTTAAACATAGAAGTTTGGGAACATTAGTAAACTCTTAAATTACTACAAATGGATAAGATCTAAGGAAATTCTTGAACACTCTGTCAGTCTGGTCCTCACAGAAGCATTCTCCAAGATTAAATTAAGTATACAAGGATTTTTATTATGGGAAACGCATATATGTAAAAGAAAATACAAAGGGAGCCAGAGAAGGCAGGGAGAGCCATGAGGCTGTGATGCGATCCTGACACCCCCCCAACTGAAGAAAAGAAGGAGAGAAGGTTGGGAGAGCCATCCTCGACTGCCTTGCAATCTAAGAAAGCTTCAGCAAAGCCCTTTGTTTGGGAGAAGCCCTTGACCCAGAGTCCCCTGACAATGGAGTCCCGTTTTCCCTAGAAAAGGTCTGCTTTAGCATCTCTCTCTCCTATCAACCAGAAAGGGGCCTGGAAACAGCCCTTGGAAGACATGACCTGGGTGCAAATTCACTGAAGAATTTCAAAGCAGCAACGGGGGACCTGTTTTGATGACATTCAGTGAATGATTAAGAGATATATTCTCTTGTCTGCCATGCTTTGGTGGTACAGAAATGCAATGGATCCTGCCTAGCTGGTTTCAGAGATTCAACCTATATTCTATGTACTTGATCTGGGGTTCCAAGACCAGTTCTTTGTTTTCTGTTCCTGAAACCCTTTAATACCCAAACCATAAAGGCAGGGTGATGTTTGGAACCAGACTGACTGACTCACCCTATCCAGCCCTAGCCCTCCAGAATGGGCCTAAAAAGGTCAGAATAAGTTTATAGGGTTTGGGGTCAGTTATCCAAATGACTAGAAATATTCTTGTGGGGAAAGGATAGCGTCCCCATGACTTAAAGACCCAAAACATGCTGAGATTGTATCCCTGAATAAAATTGGATAAGCCTGAACTAACTCCCTCAGTGTTCTGGCTTTTTTGCTAGCAGTTTCTCCATCTTTTATTCTCTGGGAAAAGTGTGGGCATATTCTAAACAAAGCCACTTTTTGTTTTAAGTTCCCTCTCATATCATGAAAAATTCTCAATTTAGCAGACAGGAATTAGGCATTTTATCATTAAAGTGCTATTTTGCATCTGGAAAACATGGGATTCTTTTTACTTTCTTTTTTAAAAAGATTTTCTTTTTTTAAAGATTTTATTTATTTGACAGAGAGAGACACAGCAAAAGAGGGAACACAAGCAGGGGTGGGTGGGAGAGGGAGAAACAGGCTTCCTGCTGAGCAGGGAGCCCAATGTGGGGCTTGATCCCAGAACCCTGGGATCATGACCTGAGCCAAAGGCAGATGCTGAACAACTGAGCCACCCAGGAGCCCCTTTAAAAGATTTTCTAAAAGATTATATTTATCTATTTGACACAGAGAGAGACAGTGACAGAGGGAATACAAGCAGGGGGAGTGGGAGAAGGAGAAACAGGCTTCCTGAGAGGCCAACGTGGGGCTGGATCCCAGGACCCTGGGATCACGACCCAAGCCAAAGGCAGACGCTTAACAACTGAGACACCCAGGCACCCTGCTTTTTTAAAGATTTTATTTTTAATCTCTACACCCAACATGGGGCTCAAACTCACCACCCCAAGATCAACAGTTACACACTCCACTGACCAAGACAGCCAGGTGCCCCATTTTCACTTTTTATTTAAATTGGATGTATGTTTAATCCACATGATGAAAAGCTCAAAAGGCACAAGTTATAGAGGGAAAAATCTTACACCCTGTGTCATGACCAACCAGTTCCTCTCTCCAAAGAAACCAACATTTTGTATCTTTCCAGGTGAATTCTGTACATATACAGGCAAATATGAGTATTAATATTTCCCCAAATGTTTACACAAATAATAGCAACCTATACACACTGTTCACAACTTCATGATATTGGATTGTATATGAATGTACCACACTTGTTGAAGCAGTTCCCTACTGATGTACTTTGTTTTCAGTCTAATCTGCAGAGAACCTGGTGCACACATCATTTTACATGTGCATGAGTATATATGAGGGATAAATTTATGAAAATCACTCGAAGTTATCTTCATTCATCATTTTCGTTTCCCAACTGCCCCCAAAAGAACTTGTGCCAGTCCTGCTTGCCCACCCATAATGTGTAAATCAGGGATACTTTCTTTTTTTTTTTAAGATTATTTGTGAGAGAGCATGTGCATGCAAGCGAGAAGCGGGGTCGGGGGGTGCTTGGCAGAGGGAGAGAATCTTCAAGCAGACTCCCTGCTGAGCACCAAATCCCTAGGTGGAGCTCAATCTCATGACTCTTGAGATGACTGCTTGAGCCAAAACCAAGAGTGGGATGCTTAAATGACTGAGCCACCCAGGTGGCCCAATCAGGAATACTTTTAGATCAGAGAGAGATGATACAAAAGATGGAAACACTATGTAAAATTAGATTGCTATCCACTAGGCTATCATTTTATTATCCATAAATCAAAGGCCCTACAAAGGAAAACAGTACAGTGGTTCTCCCTTCTCCACAGTTTCGGTTACTGGTAGTCACTGATCTCTGGAACCAGATGATGCTCCAGACATATGGCCAGGTCAGTGAGAAGCCTAACACTATGTTACAGTGTCTACATCATTCCCTTCACTTCATCTCATCACGTAGGCATTTTATCATCTCACATCATCAAGAGAACAGTGGGTACTGTACGATAGTTTTAGAGAGCACGATCACATTCACACAACTTTTAGTGTGTTGGTATAGTCTGTTTTACTACTGTTGTTAATTTCTTACTATGCCTAACTTAACGATTAAACTTCATGATACGTATGCACAGGAAAAAACATAGCAAAAATAGTATTCAGCATTATCTGTGATTTCAGGCATCCTCTGGGAGCTTTGGAACATATCCCCCCTGGATAAGGCAGAAGCACTGTACCATCAAAAATAGTTTGGACATGCATAGAAGTTGGTAATTCCTCATTCCCCTCTGGACCACTAAGATTAAGTATGCCAGAATCAATTAGAAACAAAATTCCTAAACTGAACACTCTGCACTCGCAAGCTGGTGAAAAGCCAGCAGAAGAGAAAGAGGGGGATATGATGACCACTGGGACTTCCCATACGATCCTTTGCAATTTCCCTCAAAGCGTCCAACTTCTAGTGACCACAAGTTCCTTCCACTTCTTTGTCCTGCACCACAAGAAGTAGAGGAGAACCACCTCAAGGGTGATGATAGGCCCATTATGATGCAGAGAATGCTGAGGTCAGTGGATCGCAAGACTCAGAGGATTCTCCCCACAGCCCTGGTCCGCGGGATAAGGCCGTTGTGGACAATGGACGCAAAGAAACTTGAAGCCCCCGTGCGTTTTCTCGATGTGAGAGGGTTCCTGAATACCCGGCAGGTAAAAGATGCTTCCTGCAACCAGCCCTTGAGTTTAGAAACGTGGAATCGCGTCCATCCGCCGGGTCTCGGGCGAGTCGGGCAGAATCTGGTCTCAGCCAATCACGCGGCAGAGAATTGTACACCCGCCCCTCCTTGCCGGACTCCACCCTGCCCCACCTTTTCTTTCCGCCTTTCTCTAAGTGGGCGGAAGCCGGCTCCGGGGTACCTGAAGGTCACATGATGCCTCCTGCTCACGTGACGCAACCGGGGCCGGGAGGTGGGCGGGTCTCGAGTTGCATTACGTCATCACGTCGCGCGGCCGCGGAGGCGAGATCCCGGACGACCACGGTGACGGCTCCAGAGCCTCCGGGTCGGGGCGGCGGCAGCGCTTGGGCTCCTCCTGAGCCGGCTGCTGGCCCCGCGCCCCACCCAATCCCCACGGGCAGGGAACAGGCCCGGCGTGGCTGGGTGGGCCGGCGAGCGGAGGTGAGTTGCAGGAGGAGGTGGCAGGCAGCTCTGCCCTTCCCTTCCTAGCCCCTGGCTCCCGCTTACGGCCCTTCCCCCATCCATCGACTCCCTCCGGGTTGGAACGCGGAGACGCGGGAGAGTTGAGGGAGGCTTGCGGGGCCGGGGGCGTTTCTAGTGTAGAGCGCCCTCCTCTCAGCCCCTTCCTGACCGCGCCCCTCCAGGACCTCCACCTGGAACTGCCAGAGCTGTTCCCGGTGTTGTCAGGAGGGAAGACTGTCTTTCCTTCTCCCACCTGGAGTCCTCCCCTTCTTCCACCTGGAATTTAGTCTCTCCAGAATTTGACATCTTTCCGCTCTTGCCCTCCTCCCGAGTCTTCCGTGGTGGAACCCCTCTATTCAGATGTTAACAGCAGTTCCAGAAAGGTGAGAGGGAAAGATAGGGCTGAGGTTTTGCCTGATGAGGCAGGAATGCCCAAGGAGGAAGACTACACTGAATTAAGGTTAACTGTCGCTTGTGACACAAACTGTAAAATCCAGTCCTGGGCTGAGTCCTGTGGTAACTCAGAAAATCTTCACCGAAAATGGGCATCTGTTCAGATTTTTTCTTAATTCTCCAGAGTTGGAAGTAAATACACTTAAGGAAAATACTTTTGAAAAACGTCATATACTTTGACGAATCGCCTCCTATTCTGTAAAATGGATCTTGCAGGTTGTTGGAGAGCTTATGTAGAGTTCTTATAAAATAATGCTAACTGCATATAGAAGTAGATGAGAATTTAGGATCTCGTTTGTGCTATTCAAAAATTACGGTTGTGAGTTGTGGACTCTTGAAGATCATTATTTTTTTTTCCCTTGGATTATATCAGAAAGTTATAGATCCCAAATAGACTCTTAATAACCATCCCATTTCATTCCCCAGAAATTGTCCTTGAAACAGAAAAAAAGGTCACTAAAGCCTGTCAACAATCAAGAAAGTAAAAAGTACATTCGGTCTTTTTAATAAGAATGTATTACTGAGTTTTTTTTAACTTGATGCATGTAAGTGAACTTTGCAAGTGACAGGCTATAGCAGTGAAATTAGTAGTGGAGTTTTAATAGGTTTCTACCCTAATAATTAGGCTCTTGGTTTCAGTATAGAAGAATTACTACTAATTTGCTAGAATTTGCTACTAATGTAGAACCTTCAATAACTTAATCACGTGAGAGCCATAGGTAAGCTTGCAGTATTTCCATTATTTAGTATAGGTAATGGGTCCTCATTTGAAATGTCATTTTAAGAAGAAATCCAGATATATTTGGAAGTCATAATAATTCTTTGCATATGTCTTTAGAAAAAAGTTATTTTCAGTGACTGTGGCCTTTATTGCTCTAAGTTGAATACACAATCTTTATTTTCTTGCATTTGATTTCTAAACATTTAAGGTACACCTGCTAGTATAGGGAAAAAATATATAAAACAGAATCCTATCCTCTAAATACTTACCTACTTTATTTATGTATATTAAGTAATAGTGATACCACACCTCTAGGAAATTTTATCTTTTCATTTTATCATTTGAGACTGTGACAGCATTGTGAAGATATGCAAGATATGTATGGTTTTTTTTCCATTTAAAGTACAGTTAAGTATTGATTATAGTAAATGTCAAGTGGTAGGGGCACTCAATATTGGAATTTGTAGGAAGAGGAGATTGTTTTTACTAGGGTTTGTGGCGAGATTGTTGTGGGAAGATCAGTAGTAGGAGTACTCTGTACTTGTGTTTGGGTCTGAGGAAGCCGCCTTAATTTGTATAGCTAATTGAATATGTTTAATTTTGCTAGTCCTTCAAGTGTGCTCTGGGTTTTTTTTCTCTTATACTTGCAGCATCCAAGGACCCCTTTCTTTCCTTCTGCATATTGCTTGATGGGAGGCATTATGGCCCCCAAAGACATAATGACAAATACTCATGCTAAATCCATCCTCAATTCAATGAACTCTCTCCGGAAGAGCAACACCCTCTGTGATGTGACCCTGAGAGTAGAGCAGAAAGACTTCCCTGCCCATCGGATCGTGCTAGCTGCCTGTAGCGACTATTTCTGTGCCATGTTCACCAGCGAGGTAAGTGGTCAGTCACCGCCTCACGAATGAAACGCACACTTGTAACCTTGTAGTTGTCTCATCTCATTGGATAAAATAGTAGAAGCTTGATGTAATAGTACATTTCTATAGTATGGTGGTTCGGTGGCCAGACTGTGGTCAAAATCTGCCTTTAGATGATGTCTTAGTTTCCTCATCTCTAAATTAGGGGTATTTGCAGTGTGCAATCACATATGGTTATTGTGACAGTTATTTGAGAAAATAACATGAAGTGTTTAGAGCAGTGTCTGGCATGTGGCAAAACGCAAATGTCAGCTACTAGATTTTACTTATTTTTAAAATTTGTTTTCCTGGTTTTTTTCTCCTTCTAAAGTCTAATATTTTAAAGTGAATTCGAGGAGGATAATGGGGAGGGAAGGAAAGAAGAGTAGGATTCAGTCCTCATCCAACTCCACCTAACAGTATATGAAGAAAATCAACAGTCATGCGACCAGTATAGAGTTAGAGTAATTTCAGATGAGAGGAGGAGGACTTAATAAATGACTGCATGACTGCATAGGTGTATGGAGTATAACTTGGAAAAAGATGCTGACTGTGGGGTGTAAGCAGTTAAAGGGAATAAGGAAAAGGTTGACTTTACAAGAAAAAAGGTTGTGCTTATAGGTATTATTGGGCGCTTGGGTGGCTCTCTTGGCTAGGCGTCCGCCTTCGGCTCAGGTCATGCATGATCCCAAGGTTCTGGGATTGAGCGATATTGGGCTCCCTGCTCAGCAGGGAACCTGCTCCCTCTGCCCCCCCTACCCCCACCACGTCCTCTCTCTCTCCCTCCCTCTCTCTTTTTCCCTGTCAAATATATAAATAAAATCTTTAAAAGAGAAAGAAAGAAAGAAGGAGAGACTGTTTTAGGGGTGTCTGAGTGGCTCAGCCAGTTAAGTGGCTCTTAGTTTCAGCTCAGGTTGTGATCTCATGGGTATGAGATGAGCCTGCCTTCCATCCTGGTCCTCTCCACTCAGCTGGGAGTCTGCTTGAAGCATCTCTCCCTCTCTGCCCGCCCCCAATAAATAAATAAAGAAATCTTTTTTTTTTTTAAACTGCTTTAGTAGTTGGCAGAATACTTAAAATGTAGAGTAAGCCTCTTAAATATATTGTGAAGTGCTCTTAGAAAGCCAAACAACAGAGAGCACTGCAACTTTTTTTATTTTTCAAAATCTCAAGTCTGGTTTTTTAAATTTTAAATCAATTATCTTGAATTCTTTGTAAAGATTTATTTATTTGAGAGAGTATGGGAGTGGGGGGTAGAGGCAGAGGGAGAAGAGAAGCTGAGCATGGAGCCTATCACAGGGCTTGATCTCACAACCCTGAGATCATCACCTGAGCTGAAATCAAGAAATCAGGAGTTGGGGGCACCTGGGTGGCTCAGTGGGTTAAAGCCTCTGCCTTCAGCTCAGGTCATGATCCTAGGGTCCTGGCATTGAGCCCCACATCGGGCTCTCTGCTCAGCGGGGAGCCTGCTTCTCCCTCTCTCTCTCTGCCTGCTTCTCTGCCCACTTGTGATCTCTGTCAAGTAAATAAAAATAAAATCTTTTTTTTTTTTTTTAAAGATTGTATTTATTTATTTGACAGAGATCACAAGTAGGCAGAGAGGCAGGCAGAGAGAGAGGAAGGGAAGCAGGCTCCCTGCTGAGCAGAGAGCCCGACGCGGGACTCCATCCCAGGACCCTGGGATCACGACCTGAGCCGAAGGCAGCGGCCCAACCCACTGAGCCACCCAGGCGCCCTAAAAATAAAATCTTTAAAAAAAAAAAGAAAGAAGTCAGGAGTTGGATGCTTAACTTACAAGCCACCCAAGCTCTTGAAGTTTTTTAAGCTTGAGTGAGAGTACACCAGTGTATTATATCATGTATCTGTATTTATGCATGTGTCTGAAATATCTCATGTTAACATTATTTTAACATTATTATGTTAACATTATTTTCAAAAAAAATTTTTTTAAGAGAGAAAGCACGTAAACAGGGGGAAGGGGCAGACAGAGGGAGGAAGAGAGAGAATCCCTGGTGGGGAGCCCAATGCAGGGCTCAGTCTCAACAACCCTGAGATCATGACCTGAGCCGAAATCAAGAGTTGGAGGCTTAACTGACTGAGTCATCCAGGCGCCCCTTTAAAAATTAAAAAAAAAAAAAAAAAAAAAAAACCCAAAAACAAAAACGGGGTATACCTGGGTGGCTCAGTTCATTAAGCCTCTGCCTTTGGCTCAGGTCATGATCCTGGGGTCCTGGGATCAAGCCCCACGTTGGGCTCCCTGCTCCGAGGGGAGCCTGCTTCTCCCTCTCCGAGTCCTGCTCATGAGCATGCGCACGTGCTCTCTCTCCCTCTTTCTCAAATAAATCTTAAAAGACATTTTTTTTTAAACCATCAGTATTTTATTTAATCTTTTTACCTTAGTGAAGATGTTGTTGGATCTGAATGGGAGAGTGGTGGTTTTATCTCATTCACCCTAGGGTTAGATGTTGCCATCTCATTTTACAAACGAAGAAACAAGGTCCCCAGTATTGCCTTAGGTCACGTAGCTTATAAACGGTGGAGGTGGGGTTTACTCCTAAATTTTCTGACTCTAGACCTAAACAATATATGCCATATTTGAAAAGCTATGAATATATGCCACATTGCTTTATACAAATCTTACTTAGTTGCTTTATACAAATTTTAAGTACTGTGCTTCCTCAGCCTCTGATATGCGGATTTTTATATTCTGTAATTTCAAAGCCAAAATAGTTTAGGATGCTCTGAGCCAATGCTGGGTCACATGGCTGGTAGGAAAAACATGGAAACCTGCCAGATCATTCCTGCTAATTCAGGCTAATTGTAAAACGCTCTTGTATAATACATCACCGATCACGTCCTGTTTTCCTCCAGAAACAGTAACTGCCCAGGAGCATCAGAAGCAGTTGGCATTTAACTGGGTAAGGAAGGTTCTCTCAGCAGCTGCTGAGCATGAGGTACTAATGGAGCAGGACTGCTGACTGCTAATTATATATTGTACATCCTGTTCTTTGTCAGCTTGAGGAAAATTAGCCTGTCTTTGCTCTCTCTGCACATTGAAATTGGTACGGAGTTCTATAAAAGAATTCTTTCTTTTTTCTTATCAGGGATTATTTTATAGTCTTTCTTTAAAAACTGGTATTAGGCAAGAAAATGCCAGCTGGTTTGTCTTTATTTTTAAAAGTAGCTGATACAAAGGAGAGGGTCCAGAGATCTAGGTCCAAGACTCAGTTCTCTTATCAGTGCTTTGTGAACCTTGACAACCATCTAACTTCATTGGGTTGATCTTTAAAATAAAGTAGTTGAACTAGATGGTTTCATTGTTCTCTTCCAGCCCTGAAATGCTCCTTGAATGAAGTCCAACGAAAAGATCATTTCAGTGAGACAAAAGGACCTGAGTTTTAGCTGTCTCTTACTAGTTAAGATACCTTGGTTAAGTCACATAACTGCTTTGAATGGGAATAATACCAGACCTCTAAATCTTTACCAGGTTGCTGTGAGAATTAGGTGAAATAATATGAAATAAGAAGCACTTGGAAAAATTGTAAAGCAAATATAAATGTGAAATGATACTATAAATTGTTCTGAGTTAATAAATAGCAAAATGTTTTCATATTTAAGTCATTTGATGGGAATATGGTTTGTTGAATAAGAAATTTCTGGAATAGATTTACTTATATGTTTCTGTTTGTAAATATTTTTACTTTTTGCAATGTTAATAAAACATTTTTCCAAAATGATTACTAACGACTTTTTTTTTAAAGATTTATTTATTTGACAGACAGAGATCACAAGTAGGCAGAGAAGCAGGCAGAGAGAGGGAGGGAAGCAGGCTCCCCGCTGAACAGAGAGCCTGATGCGGGGCTTGATCCTAGGACCCTGGGATCTCAGCCCGCGCTGAAAGCAGAGGCTTAACCCACTGAGCCACCCAGGCGCCCCACTAATGACATTTTTAATGTTAGGGGTTGATTTTGTTATTGGCTTTGGTAGATGATAATTTTTTTTTTTTAAGATTTTATTTATTTATTTGACAGACAGAGATCACAAGTAGGCAGAGCGGCAGGCAGAGAGAGGAGGAAGCAGGCTCCCTGCTGAGCAGAAAGCCCGATGTGGGGCTTGATCCCAGGACCCTGGGATCATGACCCAAGCTGAAGGCAGAGGCTTTAACCCACTGAGCCACCCATGCGCCCCAAGAATACTTCTTGATTATTATTTTGGGCTTATGGAGAAATCAAAGATGATAAAGTCATTTAGTTTATAATGGAAGTTTTGTGAGTGATTTTAATTTCTAACTAAGGTTAAGATGTAATAAAATTTTCATAAGGTAATCAGTTTCCAGGTAGTTTACTGTCCTGTAAAACTGAAGATTTCCACTCTTGGTCAAAGTTTTCTGTGATTATCTGTCCTTTTTGATACTCATAACTCCTAAGTTATGGACTAAATATGCCACTAACAATTCAGTAATCCCGAAATAGACTCAATCCAATATTTTGAAAAAGTATCAAAAGTTCAGTTATATTCAGTGTCCCAGTAGAAGAGGCCCCTTAAGATTACTTGCATGTTTCATCATTACCAAGTGTAGTCTAACGACAAACAGAACAATACTGAGTAGTCTTGGAGGGTCTGGAGCTGTAAGCCACAGGGTCCTCTACGAGCATGAAATGTCATTGAAATTTTGAGTTTTACCGTGAAAGCTCAGGGGCACAGTAGTGTATGTTCACCGAATTGTTGAATTCTATTCTGTAATAGATCTATGTTTGTTTTATTACGAAAGTAGTGTTTTAAATTATTCACTAGTAAAATTGATATTCCAAGGTGTCACCTCACTGTGTGCTCTTGGGTTACATACAGCTGCCCCCAATTTGAAAAGCTACAAACAGGGGCGCCTGGGTGGCTCAGTGGGTTAAAGCCTCTGCCTTCGGCTCAGGTCATGATCCCAGGGTCCTGGGATCGAGCCCCGCATCGGGCTCTCGGCTCAGCGGGGAGCCTGCTTCCTCCTCTCTCTCTCTGCCTGCTTCTCTGCCTACTTGTGATCTGTCAAATAAATAAATAAAATCTTAAAAAAAAAGGAAAAGCTACAAATACATGCCATATTTGCTTTATACAAATCAAACAAACTAGACCGTAATTTTTTAAAACTGTGTATTCAATTAATGTTAACATTCCTTCAAGCTCTTGGATATGAGATTCTGCCTTCATCTCATGGAAGTATAATCACCATTATTTCATACCCTTTGAATCTTCAGCTTTCAGAGAAGGGGAAACCTTATGTTGATATTCAAGGTTTAACTGCTTCTACTATGGAAATTCTGTTGGACTTTGTATACACTGAAACTGTACACGTGACAGTGGAGAATGTGCAAGAACTGCTCCCTGCAGCCTGTCTCCTCCAGCTGAAAGGTATGGGTGTTAAAGTTGCTGTCGTGCCAGGGTAGCCTTAGGAATGTTTAAAATTAATGGTGTAAACTTAATCCTGAAAATTACGGAGGCGGACTGTGGGCACTCATGTTTACTGCTTGTTGCACAAAAGATCAGATTTCAATCGTAATTTCAAAGAACCTCTCCACATGTGAGTATTTGGCTCTTTTAAAGAAAGTATTTATGCCTTTTCTGTTTTTTAAAAAGTGGAAGAGGGAATAATAGACACATTTTCTTACATATATGTATGCACTAACTCTACAGGGAAACACAGGAGACTGATACTTAACTATTCATGGCCGACATGGAAAGGAACTAGATGGCCAGGTAGATAGGGAGGCCGAGGGATTATTCATGGTAAACCCTTTTGTACTTTGAATTTTTGAATCATGTAAACTATCTCTTGGAAATTTAAATTGGCATACAAAAATGAAAGTATATAATGTTTTCACAGGATTAAACATTCCTATTCCCAGTCTGTCTTTCTTAATCTGCCCTGATGTTTCTATGATTCAGTTTTTTCAAACACATGGTTGAAAATTTTCATTTTTTAATACATGATTGAAAACAGTGTGAAGCTTTTGCACTATTGCACAGCTGTAAAATTAGATTTATGATCTGAACTTGTCGATTAGAGAAATAAAAGATTGGTGTTAGTATCTTCTAGTTTTCCTTCATAGGAGTCTTTCAGTAAGTTTGCATATAGAGTAGAAATTGGGTACGTTATGTTAAATTGTGATTGGTTTTATAAAAGCTTGATTCCCAAGAGGCTTATAGGCATTTTTAATTGTGCCACTGTCCATAGAAACAGTTTGTCTTACTATACTTATTTTAAAGCCAAAACAGAGACATAGTTGTGAAGGCCAAGGTCACATAGCACATGAAACAGAAATTGAATTCCTTAAGCATAAAATTTCTAATCTGATCATCAGTGTTGAGCCAGGATTCCTCTGTTACCTTGTAGAGAAGATATGTAGAGAGGATACCTTGATCCAAGGATGTAGACCAGTTCACACCTGGTCAAGTACCCTGAAGTGTTTGTTGTCTGTGTTTGTCCTAGGTGTGAAGCAAGCCTGCTGTGAATTCTTAGAAAGTCAGTTGGACCCCTCCAACTGCCTGGGTATCAGGGATTTTGCTGAAACTCACAACTGTGTTGACCTGATGCAAGCAGCTGAGGTCTTTAGCCAGAAGCATTTTCCTGAAGTGGTACAGCACGAAGAATTCATTCTTCTAAGTCAAGGAGAGGTGGAAAAGCTAATCAAATGCGATGAGATTCAGGTACAAATCTGGCTTGGTATTCGGGTTTCTTCAAGACTGGGCCATTACAGAACTTGGGAAAAACAAGGTGGAATTACTGTGTTTCTGTAGGAGGGCACCTTAATCGAGTTGTCAGTATTGGTTCCAAAGGTTTCACTCAGTACCCTGAAATTATATGCCAAATTTATTTGCATTTTTATGGGAGGGAGTTAGCCACCTTCCTCAGTGTATGATCCCAATGGTTAAGAGTCACTTTTTTTTTTTTTAATGTTTCTCTAGATGTCTTACAACTGACCATTTTTAAGATTTTATTTATCTGCCACGGAGAGCGGGAGTGAGAGAGAGAGCTCAAGCAGGGGAGCAGCAGGCAGAGGGAGAAGCAGACTCCCTGCTGAGCAGGAAGCCCGATGTGGGACTTGATCCCAGGACCCTGGGATCACAACCTGAGCCAAAGGCCGACATTCAACCATCTGAGCCACCCAGGTGTCCCAAGAATCACTGTTAAAGAGAGTGTAGAATAAGTAGAAATTGGAAATAAAGTAGATTTCTGTAGAACACTTCTCTACTATTCATTCATTTTACAAACATTTATTAAGACTTTCTGCTATACAGCAGTAGATACTCTCAATAAACTATACATGCCAGGTGCTATGGGTCGCAAAGTGAGTGAGATACAGTTCTTGTTTTCAGTAGTTCACTGTGTAGTGGTAGAGAACAGACAAAAAGACAAAACTTATAGAATATAAATGAGAGTAATGAACTTATTCAAAGTGAAGAAGTTAGAGAAAAAGAAGAATTAAACCTTCTAAGTTAGAATGAGATCAGAAAGGAAGTGGATCAAAAAGGAAGTGGGGGGGGGCGCCTGGGTGGCTCAGTGGGTTAAGCCTCTGCCTTCGGTTCAGGTCATGATCTCAGGATCCTGGGATTGAGCCCCACATCGGGCTCTCTGCTTAACGGAGAGCCTGCTTCCTCCTCTCTCTCTGCCTACTTGTGATCTCTCTCTGTCAAATAAATAAAATCTTAAAAAAAAAAAAAAAAAAAAAGGAAGTGGGGTGCCTGGGTGGCTCAGTTGGTTATGCAACTGCCTTCAGCTCAGGTCGTGATCCTGGAGCCCTGGGATCAAGTATTGGGCTCCCTACTTGGCAGGGAGTCTGTTTCTCCCTCAGACCCTCCCTCTTCTCATGCTCTCTCTCTCTCTCGCATTCTCTCTCTCAAATAAATAAAATCTTTTAAAATAAATAAATAAAAATTTTAATAAATATATTTTTAATAAATATTAAAACATTTATTTTATTTAATATTATTAATAAATTTAAATATTAATATTTAAATTTTTTAATGTTTCTCTAGATGTCTTACAACTGACCGTTTTTAAGATTTTATTTATCTGCCATGGAGAGGCAGATAAATTATTAAAATATTAATAAAATATTATTAATGTATTTAATAAATTATTATATTAATTTATTATAATTAATAAATTATTATATTAATAAATTAATAAATATTGTTAATTTATTTAATAAATATTTAGTGATTAAATTGTTAAAAATATTAATTTTTAATAAATAAATAAAATAAAATAAAAAGGAAGTAGATCAAAAGGAAGTGAAAAGGGGCACCTGGGTGGCTCGGTGTGTTGAGCCTCTGCCTTCAGCTCGGGTCATGATCCCAGGGTCCTGGAATCGAGCCCCACATCAGGAGCTCTGCACAGTGGGGAGCCTGTCCCCCCCGCCCCGCGTGCCTCTCTGCCTACTTGTGATCTCTCTCTCTGTCAAATAAATGGATAAATCTTAAAAAAAAAAAAAAAAGGAAGTGAAAAAAGGTTGGTGATCATAAGCAGGAGGCCAATGATAAATGCCTGACGGGACTGGGAGTGGGACAAAGTGGGAAGAAGGGACATGTGAACTGAGCCCTGAAGGAGTTGTTTTTCACCTAGCAGAGGGGAAACTACCTGTGGGCAGGCAAGGGTTCAGCGACTTACCCCAGCAAGAAGGATGTTGGTCAATCCTAATGCTAAATTACGGTGTCAGTAGCTTAGCCGAGTTTTTACTGCAGGAGATCTGTAGTTAGGCTGACAGTTGGAGTGAGAAGTCCAATAAAGAGCTAGAGATGTCTTTGAAGCCCAAAGCATTAATTTCCAGTGGTCAAATTCTCTAGTTAGTAGCTCCCAGAAAATGCCTTGCAGAGCCCAGAAATTCATGGCACCTCAGTTTAATATTGGAAAGAATCAAAGTCTGACAAATTTTGTAAGTGCTATGGAAGGAATTTGCTAAAGAAATCCTATAATATACTTTTGTAAACCCAATGATAATTATTTTATTAAAACTAAGATTTTTATGTAATATAATAAATAGTATTAATAATGTCTCTTATCAAATTTTAGCCAGCTTTTTCTTTTTGCCTTTCCCTACTGAATTTTCTGAGGGAAAATTGATTAGGGCACTTAGGTGACATTGTTCCCAACTAAAGAGGAATCATATTACAGTTCGACACGGTGTCATATTAGTCCAGAGAAGCTGCTGTTAGAAATGTTACTGAGCCAAATATTTCTAAGGTTTTGTTCTCATTCTTGTTATGGTAGGACATTGTGTCCATGCACTGAAATGCCAGGTATAGACAAATGGCACATTCTTCAGACTTGGGAAACTGATAACTTGCTAGAATATCTTGATTTTTCTTGATTTATCCATACATGAGAAAATACAGTACATAGGATGAGTACCATAGACTTGAAGTTTTACTCCGCATAATAGTAAAAGAGCTAAAACTTACTGAGCATTTACTATTGGTTCCTTTATTAAATATATGTTGGGTACTTGCGGTGTATCCAGAACAGTTCCAGGTGCCTGCGATCTGATTGTGGACAAAAAAGATAAAAATCCCTGTACTCTGAACTTTTCATTTTAACGGTACCATTCTTGGTATTATTGGTAATAATATGGTATATACCATATTAATATATATACCATTAATATGGTATATCTTATCTAATGTAGTTCCAAAAGTGTCTCCAATTTTCAGAGGAAGAAACTGAGGCTTCAAGGGTACCCATCATACAAGAGCTAATAAGTGGTAGAACCAGTCCTCATATCTGGGCAATCTGGCTCCAGATTGTTCTGTTCCAAGAAACTATGAGCAGGTTGCCTAGTTAGTTTCTCATTGACCAAATCAGCAAGCAGTCACAGCAATCATTTGTTCTAGAACTATATAAACTTTGGAATAAAATTAAATGGAACAGGTATAGGAAAAGACTAACTTTTATTCAGAAACTGCGACAAAAAGAGTCGGAGAACTCTTTTGTATAGTCTTCCGTCAGCCTCTGTCAGGACTGTCTCTTTTTCTGAAAAGACAGCAAATGGCACATTTTTTCTCTTCCATATACCAGCCAGAAAGAGGAACCAGATGTTTTACTCCCCAGCTAATACTTCCTCTTAATTATATAAAATGACAGTATTTAACGCAATGGGAAACAGTATATTGTACTGGTTAAAACGACATGGGCTTTAGAATCATCCTGGGGTTTATTTTGGCTGTGTGACACATGTTAACCTAACCACTAATCTTCAGTTTCCTCTGCCATAGATAGTAATCGTGCTTAGTGCATAGGGCCATTCTGATCATTAAATATCAGTATCCAATACATAAAATAGTTCCCTGTGAAAATTTGTGATGGGGAAATTTTTCTCCGTAGTGAGGTATTAATGCAGGGTTTTTTTTTCCCTCCCAGTTTAGTTGTTTCTTTTCCAATACTAGTTTATTCCGTCTTCAGTGAGATCAAGGATATCTGCTTAGGATTGGAAAACCCCTTTATAAATTGATAAATCTCATTTAAACCTAGACTATATCAGAGCCTAGCATGTAGCTATTTACAACTATTAGCTTGTCCTTCTTGTCTTTAAAAAAAGACTTTTAATTGTGGACCGCCTTCTGCACAGGTCTCTATCTAATGCATCAGGCGGCTGGGTTAGTTTGACCTCCCATAGATTTGGTGCATAAATTTCTCTCACCACTGCCATAGTCTAAGCACCTGTTGCCTTTTTTTTTTTTTTTTTAAGATCTTATTCATTTATTTAACAGAAAGAGAGCACAAGCAGAGGGAGTGGCAGAAAGAAAGGGAGAAGCAGACTCCCCACTGATCAGGGAGTCTGACGCAGGGCCTGATCCCAGGACTCTGGGGATCATGACCTAAGCCAAAGGCACCCCAAAGCACCCATCACCAAGGCACCCCACTCAGGCACCCCAAAGCACCCATCACCTTTTGCCTAATGTACCAGAGGAGCCTCTAATTGGTATCCCAGCTCTTGGCCCTTCTAAACTGTTCTACCCATGGTAGTCAGGGTAATCTGCAAACATCAATATGATCATATCACAAGCTTGGTTGAAACCTTTTAGTGGTTTCCCATTGCTGTTAGAGTAAATTCCAGTCTTCTAATGCTCTCTCTGAACTATCCCTTGGCTACCTCTCCAGCTTGATCTTTTACCATTCTTCCCCTGCCTCATTCATTCTACTACACCAGCCTATAGTCTGTCTGTTTTTGCTCTAGGACAGTGCTGTCCAGTAGACACTGATGTGAAGACGGAGAGGATCAATAGTTGTGCCGTCTGGTTTGCTAATCCGTAGCCACATGTGGCTGCTGAGCACTTGAAATGTGGCTAGTTGACTGAGAAGCTGAGTTTTTAACTTAACTTAATTTTAATTAATGTAACTATAAATAGCCATACGTGGCTAGTGACTACCGTGTTGGGCAGTACAGCTCGAGGTTTTTTGCTATGCTCTTCTCTTTGCCTTGGAGTCCTCTCTCACTCTTCCTGGCTAACTGCTACCCAGCCATCAGATTGAAATGTATTTCTTCTACAGGGAGGCCTTTTCTGACCCATCAGTCTGAATTAGGAAACCTCATGTTATTCTGTCTCTTAGCCCCTGTACTTTTCCTGCATGGTATATAATGACAAAGTGGGATTGTTCATTTTTGCATTCTCTTCCTGCATAAAAACAAAGTTCATGTCTGATTTGTTACCAGTGTATAACCAGCTTCCAGCCCTGTGGCTGGCACTTAGTAGGTGTTTGGTAAAGCCAATGAATGAATATTCTGAGACATTTTCTCTATTTTTAGTTCTTGGGAAAAGTTCACAGAATGATGTCTTTATCTAGGCACTGTCACATTCTGAAAGGTACCTCAGAACAGATACACTCCCCAAATGATTAATTATGTTTATCATCTCCAAGCACAGTGCCTGCTAAATAGGAATTGTTCAGATGCTAATGGACACTTCTTAGGAAACTGCAGCATTGTAGCGTAATGACGGAAGAGAAGTTCCTGCCTCATCAGCTTGGATGGAAGAGTTGGGGAGCAATCCTGGAAGTCCTCAGACAACACTTACTGAACACAAATTATCTTAAGAGCTGATTTTGGGGGCACCTGGCTGCTTCAGTCAGTAGAGCATGCATCTCTTGATCTCAGCGTTGTGAGTTCATGCCCCACATTGAGCAAAGAGCATACTTTAAAAAACAACCCAAAAAAAAAAAAAAAAAAACCACTTTTGAATAGGGCAACAGATTCCTCCTCCCCTTGTAAAGTTTCAGAAATGACCAGAAAAAAAAATTCAGGAATGGAAAAACTTCTGAAGTAAAAGCCAACTTTTGACTGATGGTTTATTAGGCCCTATCTCAGATTTTTTTTTATCCAGTTTGACTGCAGCTCTTTAATTGGTCTTAGTGAGTCGTGTGGGACAAGTGTTGTTTTCCCAAGTGCTTAGCAATTTCTGGAAGAGAAGAAATAAAGGTGGGAGAGCATGGGGAACAGGAAGGAGAAAGCACGGTTGCTTTCTGAGGTAATTGGAAAAACAGAGTTCCATGCTGTGTAATTACACACTTTTAGGTGGATTCTGAAGAGCCCGTCTTTGAAGCTGTCATCAACTGGGTGAAGCATGCCAAGAAGGAGCGAGAAGAATCCTTGCCTGACCTGCTGCAGTACGTCCGGATGCCCCTGCTGACCCCCAGGTACATCACAGACGTAATAGATGCTGAGGTAAGGCACACAAGACACACAGGGTCCAAAGCCTTGAATATCTCTTGCAACTTAGTATTGTGTACTCAAAATTGGTTATGAGCCTACATTAGCTAGCTGTCTAGGAGTGCTGCAGAGGGTGGCCCTAGGTACTAGTCTCTAGACAATTGCTTGGCAAGTCAGCCTTCTGGGGATGGAAACCTATGGTTTGATTTTTTATATGTCCCTATGTGTTTTACATAAGCAACATGAGGTGATAAATGTCCCCTTCCCCATTCAACATAAGTAGTTCCAAATTGCCCTGAAAAAGATGCTTTGATTATCAAGTCTATTTTTGACTCCTCCTGATGGCAACATGAAAGTAGTTCGATGTATTTTTAGTACCAATTTGGGTTATACTGTGTTTATTTATAAAAGTGTCTTTCTGGCCCAAGTTCTTCCTGTGTGGTAGGTTTTCATAATTTTTACCATATGTATCACCGATTTACCTAGACCATATTGTGGGCAAATACTGCCGTTTAACATATAAATAAAGACCAGGTCGGTGAATGTGTTCTTCCTCCTGGCCCAGCCCCAGACCTTTTAAGGAATTAACTACATACACAGTTTTCCAGGTCACATTAGAAAAGTTGCAGGCTGATTAGTGTCACATGTCAAACTTTTTCTCATATTTGTAATTTCTAACAACTCATACAGCCATCACTCTGTTCTTTACATTGTGGTTCATAGTGCAGACTCTTGAGTCCAACTCAGGAGACTGAAATCCCAAATTCAATTCACTGCTCATCCCCCAGTGAGGGAGCCTGGCCTCACTCCCCTTCTCCCTCTGAGCTCTTCTAGAGCTCCTCCTTGGCTCAGCCCAGCCAGAAGCCAGAGGGCCTAGGGACCCTACGACATTCTTCGTGTAGGCCAGCCTTCTAAGCCAGCCAGCGGAGTGGGGAAGGATGTGGAGTGAATCTGGGGATGTAAAGGAGAGCTGCCCAGTACAGAGCTCCGTCAGGAGACATAGGCATTGTGACGGTGCTATGAACCTTGGGGAAATTATTTCAGGCAAAATTTACTTCTTCCTACCATCCCAGGAATTAACAGAGGCCTTTCGGTTTTCACTTAAGATTCTTATTAGCTATTTCCTACTCATATTTGTGTAATCGCTGGAAGGATGTACAAACAAACTAATAAAAAGAGTTAATGCCTACTGCTAAGGCAGAGAGAGAATACTTCTCAATACATCTTTTTACGTCATTTGATTTTTGAACCATGTAATAATATATTGTCTATTAAAAAATTGTTCTCTTAATTTGTGGAAGCCCACTGCATAGTTATTACCAGCAGCCCTTTTGGAACTGGTTTTCTGTATCAAGAAGTTACTTCCTATGTGTGCCATTTATACTTGTATATTAAAGACGTGGCCCCTGGGGGTCACTGTACTGTCTGCTGTGTTTCAGCCTTTCATCCGCTGTAGTTTGCAGTGCAGGGATCTAGTTGATGAAGCAAAGAAGTTTCATCTGAGGCCTGAACTGCGAAGTCAGATGCAGGGACCCAGGACAAGGGCTCGTCTAGGTAAGCTAGCATCTTAAGATGGCAGGAGGAAGGGATATTTCTCAACACCTATTGGTGGCATGATGTAGTTGAAAACATTCAGTAAGAAGTACAAAGACCTGGGTCAGACCTGTTTTTAATCTTTTAGTGATGGTGTCATCTTGGACAAGTCACTTTACCACCCTGAGCTCTCCTACAAACCAAGGATACTTCCCTATCTATTTCACATAACTGTTTAAAGGATTAAATGGAATAGAGTATGTAACAATACTTTCTAAATTGTCAAGTATTAGATAGTATAAGTTATAATTTTATTTCACTGGGGTGCCTGGGTGGCTCACTAGCTTAAGGGTCTGCCTTCAGCCCAGGTCCTGATCCCAGGTCCTAGGATCGAGCCGCATATCAGGCTCTCTGCTCAGTGGAGAGCCTGCTTCTCCCTCTCCCTCTGCCTGCCACTCCCTCTGCTTGTTTCCCACCCCCTCTCTCTGTGAAATAAATAAAATATTTCTTTTTAAAAAAGATAAAATTTTATTTCACTTATTTTTTTTTTAAGATTTTATTTATTTATTTGACAGAGATCACAAGTAGGCAGAGGGGCAAGCAGAGAGAGAGAGAGGAAGGGAAGCAGGCTCCCCGCTGAGCAGAGAGCCTGATGCGGGGCTGGATCCCAGGACCCTGGGATCATGACGGGAGCCGAAGGCAGGGGCTTAACGCACTGAGCCACCCAGGTGCCCCTTATTTTCACTATTTTTGGAGTTTTCTGGATTAGAAATTATTTCAAATGCCACGTAGTAGTTTCACATTCTGGAATGAGAAGAGGAAGGAAAAGAAGTGTACAAGTATGGGAGTGCGGCACAGTGGAAAGTTCCGGGGTTTTGGTGGTGACATGCAGTCGTTCAGAGCCTTGACTCTGGAGCCAGACTGTGTGGGTGCAGATCCCAGCTTACTACTTACTAGGTATATTAACTTTGGCAGGAGACTTCCTCTCTGTGCTTCAGTTGCCTCTTCTGTAAAGTGGGAATCATCACAGTTCTTATCTCCAAGTTTGTTAGGAAGAGTAAATGAAGTAATTTATTTAAAAGGCTTAGGACCGTTCTTGGCACATGAAAAGTACTGTATACATTAGCTCTTACTTTAGCAAAGAGACTTAGGTTCAAATCACAACTCCACCAATGATGGTTGTGTGACCTTAGGTAAGGTATCAATTTATCTGAACCTGTGCTTTTGCCTCTAAAATGAGGATACTGGGGTACCTGGGTGGCTCAGTGGGTTAAGCCTCTGCCTTTAGCTCAGGTCGTGATCTCAGGGTCCTGGGATCAAGCCCTGCATCAGGCTCTCTGCTCAGCAGGGAGCCTGCTTCCCCCTCTATCTCTGCCTGCCTACTTATGATCTCTCTTTCTGTCAAATAAATAAATAAAATGTTTAAAAAAAAAAAAGTCTAAAATGAGGATTCTAATGTCTTCATTCAGTGGGTTGTTGTGGAGGTTAAGTATGATAGTATATGTAAGATGCCTGACATTGTAGCTGACACGTTAAGTAAGTACTTAGGTATTACCTCACTTCCGGTTCCTATCCTTCCTATTCCACTATTGTAGATTATAAATGATCTATGGGGTGTTTTGTTTTTGTTCTTGTCTACTTTTTCTCTTACCTAACTGTGGCCTCATATATATGAAGTTGTTAATTGATAATTAAGCTTTACTTATTGCTTTAAGTAGAATGATGATTTGTCTCCTATAATTTTTTAACGGCATAAGCACTGTACGTCGATGTATTTCAGTGTAGAAATGTTAGAAATACAGAGAAGATCTTGAGAGATTAGTATATGATTCTACGTGCCCTTAGAGTTGTGAGGTTATTTTTCAGAAGTTCCAGAAAAGAAATTCTGGAGCTTTCTCCAACTAGATTCTTATTTTAGCATCTCCTTGTCAGTTCCTTAAAACTAAATTTGTTCCTACCATCATGTCTTTTACTCATCTCTCTTCACAGAGATTGCTAAACCAGCTACCAGGATAATGATTCTTCTGCATACACATAAGGAAATTAAATTTACAGCTACATAAAAATTGCATGCCAGATAATGGGTGGGGATTTTGTCTTAGTCATTTACCTTTTACCCATTATTCTTTTACAGAAGGTACAGTGGAAATTGCAATTGCTGATTTGTCACCGTCTCCTTTTCTGAGCTAAAAATCAATACATGTGGAAATGTAGTCTCTGAACCCTGTGATGTTAGCAATCCTGCAAGCCGTCTGCTGTAGTCCTCTAACAGCACACCACAGCCCACACACACTCCTTCCCCCACCCCCACCACCCAGTAATAACAGTGGCACTGTCAAGATGCCTCAGTTTTACTAATGTGCTTTTTTCATACTGTTTTCGTCAGGTGTTTTAGACATACTTTCTTCATGATACAGAGAAATCTAACTTAACAAGTCCAGTCCCCTGTCCTCCCACCCCGCCATTCATTGGCAGAGAACAAACAGGGTTCCTTCTCATTATTCCTTTCACTAGCTTGTTAAAGTAGTGTCCCCAGCTTAGAGTCTGAAGACATTGAAACACTTAGGAGTTCACCCAGGAGAGAAAGACTTCCTAGGCACAAAGCAATAGAAGAAATCACAAAGGAACAGGTCAGTGTATTTGACTAAATAAAAATCATGCACAACATTATAAGACAAATTAGGTAGATTTTCTACAACCATGGAAAAGAGTTATTTATTTGTATATAATATATATTATATATAAAGATATATATCTATAAAGGTATATATACATACATATATATATAAAGAGCTCATAGTAAAAATACATGAGAGAAATACTAAAGACTTGAACGTATAGTTCACAGAGGAGGGAGTACAATTGACTACTAAATATGAGGGGGGAAATTCAACCTAATTACTTATAGAGTCTTATTAGTAATAAGGTAAGAATTAAAACAATAACTACAATTTTTTGTTTTTGTCTACCAAAGCATCAGAGATTAGAAAACTGTCTAGCTACAGAGAGTAGAATGAATTGGCAACCTTATATTGTTGGTGGCAATATAAATTGGTTTAAACCTCAGAAAGTATTCTTAGAATATACATATATTCTTTGAAAGATTTTATTTATTTGAGAGAGAGAAAGAGCAAGCACACGTGCCAGCAAGGTCGGGGGGGCGGTGTGTGGTGGGGGCAGATGGAGAGGCAAACTCCATGCCGAGCAGGGAGCCCATCTCAGGACTCCCAATCTTGGACTCTGAGATCGTGATCTGAGCAGAAGGCAGACACTTACCCGACTGAGAAACCCAGGCGCTCCTCTTATAATGTATATTAGAAGTTTTTTTTAAGTTCTCGTTCTTCACTCCAGCAACCCTCCCATTTCTGTCCTAAGAAAATAACTGGGATTTCATATTCAAGCATATTTATTACAGGACTATATGTGATTATTTATAGTCCCAAATTACAAACACCTGAAATGCCTAAGAATAGTAAAATTATGTATTAAAAGATTTTTGTTAATATCTTCAGGAAATTAAATATAAACAGCTGGAGGGGCGCTTGGGTGGCTCAGTCGGGTAAAGCCTCTGCCTTCGGCTCAGTTCATGATCCCAGGGTCCTGGGATCGAGCCCCGCATCGGGCTCTCTGCTCAGTGGGGAGCCTGTTTCCTCCTCTCTCTCTCTGCCTACTTGTGATCTGTAAAATAAATAAAATTTTTAAAAATACATATATAAGCAGCTGGAGGGGGTTGCCTGGCTGGCTCAGTTGGTGAAGCGTGCAGCTCTTGATCTCAGGGTCATGAGTTCAAGCCACACGTTGTGGATGTAGAGATTACTTAAAATAGGGACACCTGGGTGGCTCAGTTGGTTAAGCAGCTGCCTTTGGCTCAGGTCATGATCCCAGCATCCTGGGATTGAGTCCCACATCAGGCTCCTTGCTCGGCAGGGAGCCTGCTTCTCCCTCTGCCTCTACCTGCCATTCTGTCTGCCTGTGCTCGCTCTCTCTCCCTCTCTCTCTCTGACAAATAAATAAAATCTTAAAAAAAAAAAAAGATGTAATTATAAAATAAAATCATAAAAAATAATTTAAAAACTAGGATACAATAAATGTCCCAGTTATTCTATATAAATATTTAAAAACAAGGCTGGAAGGGAATAATCTCTTAAATTTTGGTGTGTCTTCATGTTGTGGAATTACGGGTAAACATTTTTCATAATACTTGTCTCTATTTTCTAAGTTCTTTTACCAGTGAGCATGTATTTTACTTACGTTTATAATCACAAGAAATGGGGGCGCCTGGGTGGCTCAGTGGGTTAAGCCTCTGCCTTCGGCTTGGGTTGTGATCTCGGGGTCCTGGGATCGAGCCCCACATCAGGCTCTCTGCTCAGCAGGGAGCCTGCTTCCTCCTCTCTGCCTGCCTCTCTGCCTACTTGTGATCTCTCTATCTCTCTCTCTCTGTCAAATAAATAAATATCATCACAAGAAATGATTTCTAAATCTTTTTAACCAATGGGGGGTTAGTAGGCAAGTAAAGATGAGAATATACTAATCCTCGAATTATTTCTCAAATTTTCTAAAAGAAAATGGCTTTTGTGCTAGACAAAGCTACTACACTAAATAAAGACCTCAGAACTGACTAAAATTATATCTGTTCGTTGTGAAAACACTGGTGTTCTCATACTTACGTTGGCACTTAGATGTAACTCTGGCAGTAATAGGGAAGTTAGCTTGCTAATACATCTTGGTAGATCATCTTTTAGAACATGAGGTCTATCTTGGAAAAATAATGAAAAGAGTGCTTTGTGGCAAAGAAGTTCTGGAACCAATGATCTAGGGTGCCAGGCATTTAGAACCATAAAATAACTGAGTAACTCACACTGACACCTTTGTCCATGTTCCACTGTAGAAATATAGTTACTATCAGAATGCTTATTGAGAAACTTTGAAATAAGAGGAAGTGTTGTCAGTTCTCTGGGTTTTGTAGCATAATCTGAATATTTCCTATGTGTTTTTATGTCCCCATCCCTCAAAATCTGCCTGAGTGAAATCAGATTATCAAGAAAGAATGGTTTTTTCCCTAGGTTTTTTGTTGTTGTTGTTGCCATTTTTTGTTTCTGGTAATTACATAAAGCAGCAGGAATTAAAGCTGAAAATCAGTGGAAATTTTTTAAATGTACAAAGCATAGAAAAAACTCTCAGTTGTGGAGTATTTTCATTGTCTTAGTCATACCGGTATCATTCACTAGCATCACTATTTTTAAAAAGATTTAGATTTTTTATTACTGTTTTCTTATTTTGGCTGGGGGTGGGGGGCTGTGCAGAGGGAAAGAAAGAATCTTATGCATGCCCCACACCCAGCATGGAGCCTGACAAAGGGCTTGATCTCACAACCCTGAGACCATGACCTGAGCCAAAATCAAGAGTCTCACACATAATGAACTGAGCCACCCAGGTGTCCCTAGCATCATATTTTTCTATAAGGGGAAATATGTTTGGATAGAAGGATTGCTTTATTACCTCTGTTCAAATCAAAGGGAGAGAAAAGGTGCCTTAAGAAAGGGACAAATAGGGGCGCCTGGTTGGCTCAGTGGGTTAAGCCTCTGCCTTCAGCTCAGGTCATGATCTCAGGGTCCTTGGATTGAGCCCCTGCATCGGGCTCTCTGCTCAGCAGGGAGCCTGCTTCCTCCTGACTCTCTGCCTGCCTCTCTGCCTACTTGTGATCTCTCTCCCTGTCAAATAAATAAGTAAAATCTTTAAAAAGAAAAAAAGAAAAAAAAAAAGAAAGGGACAAATAGGGGAATAATGCTACCAAGGAAGAAGCAAATACTTTGTGGTTCTGGCTTCTCCCAGCTTGAAGGAATTCTATGCACAAATAAGCATAATATGAAAGGACCTTTGTTCAAATGCTTTGCTTTTCTAAAAGGAACTGACTCCTGAGACCTGCTTACTGGCTCACCTTGGAAAAGGATCTACTTATTTTATTTGGCAAGTACACAAGACAGATGCTCTCTTTAATGAGGTTAAACTTAAGGGTTTATGTGTGAGTTATTAGGAAAAATTTCAAACATACACAGAAACAGAATAATATAAAGATTCCCCATACCCATCATCCATTTTCAATAATTAGCAACTCATGGCCAATTTAGAAGCAAATCTCAGGATATAATTCTACCCATATATATTATGCTTTCATATGTATCTCTGAAAGATAAAGGGCTTTTTAAAAATATGTTTAAAATGCCATTCTCACTCTTCAAAGGAAACGCACAACCAGAGGCACCTGGGTGGGTCAGATGGTTGGCCGTCATGATCTCAGGGTGGGAGTCCCACATCGGGCTCCCTCCTCAGCAAGGAGCCTGCTTCTCCCTCTGCCTGTTGCTCCCCCTGCCGTGTTCTCTCTAATAAATAAAGTCTTTAAAAAAAGAAAACCCACAACCAGTTTATTTTCATCAGATATCAAGGACATGTTCATATTCCCCCAGTTTTGTTTTTGAACACTTATGTTGCCCCACTTGTGATCCAGACAAGGTCCACATGTTGCATTGAGCTCTTTTATTTATTTATTTTTTGTAAGGATTTTATTATTTGACAGAGATCCCAAGTAGACAGAGAGGCAGGCAGAGAGAGAGAGAAGGAAAGCAGGCTCCCTGCTGAGCAGAGAGCCCCATGCGGGGCTCAGTGCAGGGCTCGATGCAGGGCTCGATCCCAGCACCCTGGGATCATAACCTGAGTGGAAGGCAGAGGTTCTAACCCACTGAGCCACCCAGGCGCCCCTCTCTTTAGGCTCTTTTAATCCATTGGTTTTTCCATCCTACTCTGGTATTTCCTTGCAGTTTATTTGTTGAAGAAACCAAGCTGTTTGACTTGTAGAATTTCCCACATTCTCAGTCTTGCTGATTGCATCCATGTAGTGTCATTTAGTATGTTCTGTCCCCTGAATTGCCTATAAACTAGTGGTTAGACTAGTAGGTAAGTTTCAAGATTTGGGTTCATTTTTTTTTTTAGCAAGAATACTTCATTGGTGATGGTGGTGTACTTCCTATGGAGCATTATGAAGTAGTATTTTTGCTTTTCCTTAATGATTTTAGTAGCTTTTGATAATAATTGTCAGAGCCATTATTCATTGGGGTGCGTCTGTGGTTTGGTTTTCTTTTAAGATTTTATTTATTTATTTGACGGACAGAGATCACAAGTAGGCAGCAAGGCAGGCAGAGAGAGAGGAGGAAGCAGGCTCCCTGCTGAGCAGAGAGCCCGATGTGGGGCTTGATCCCAGGTGCCCCTTCATCTGTGTTTTTTAAAGGTACTCCATTTGCTCTTTCAAGTCTAGTTACTTATAAGATCACTTTGGTTTCCTCAGTGCCCTTCTAGTAATTGAATTTACAAAATGCTTGATTCTTTCCATGAGCTCTAGTAGAGCACATGTACAGAGGATTTTCTCAAAAGACTTTGCTCTTTGAAGAGGTAAAGGAGGAGATATCACAAGAAGGCTTTAAGGAAGAGGGGAAGATACAAAGGCCACCAAAATACCTTCTTTGGGAAAATAATAGGAAAAAAAAGAGTCTCTTTAAAAGCCTGCTGTTATGACTACCTGGCAATTGTGATGAATGGGCAGGGAACATGATCATAAAGTTGGCTAAATTGGAAAAAACTCATGGAAAGAGAGTTTTAAAAATCTATCACTTGGTTTTGTTTTGTTTTTTTTTTTTTTAAGATTTTATTTATTTATTTGTCAGAGAGAGAGAGAGAGAGTGAGCACAGGCAGACAGAGTGGTAGAGGGAGAAGCAGGCTCCCTGCGGAGCAAGGAGCCTGACGCGGGACTCGATCCCAGGACCCTGGGATCATGACCTGAGCCGAAGGCAGCCACTTAACCAACTGAGCCACCCAGGCGTCCCTATCACTTGGTTCTTAAACCATAACTTCTAACTTTCTTGAGACTACTTTAGGAGAATGTTCTTTCCCCATTACCAAAAACTCCCATTTTGAGTTTTACAGGCTGAGAAGGGAAGCCCCCTTTAGCCCCCTACCTGCACTGAGAACCTCACTTATTATGTCAACCAGAGTCATCTAGATAGGTTGGAATGTGTTCAAGTTTGCCTTCAGAGTTGTGATGTTGTCTTAAAATTTTAATTTCAGAGATCCAGGTCCTCAAGAGCTAGTGCCTCGGAAGGAAGTAGTTTCCTATTAGGCAGCCTTATGATGAAGGTCCTTTGTCAGATTGTTCTCTGTGCCACATAAGACAAAATCTTACAACTGTTTCTACTTATGTTTCCCCTGGGATGGTAAAGTAACCTTTTTCTCTCTTTGTCCTCAGGAGCCAATGAAGTGCTTCTGGTGGTCGGGGGCTTTGGAAGCCAGCAGTCTCCCATCGATGTGGTAGAGAAATATGACCCCAAGACTCAGGAGTGGAGCTTTTTGCCAGTGAGCAGTGGGGGAACCAGTCATGGGAAAAGAGTTTAAATGTCCTCAGTCGCTGACTCTAGATCCTAACTAATCCAGCCCTGCAGGTAGCAAAGCCTAGTAACCGCATGATGCTCTTCACAATGGCGTCATACGCATAGTGGGTTCTAGATCAATCTGTCAGTAGTTACAGACCATTTAGGTAGAAGATCAGAGTTCAGAACTATCAAAGGCCCTGTGTCAAATTAAACTTTCCTGGCCTACCACTGTTGGGGCACCTTCCTGAGCTGTCTGTGTAACTCCCAGCATGCTCTATTATCATGCTCTGTTAAACTGAACTCAGTGTTAAATTATATTACATTGAGCTAGTGTTTACTTGAAGTCTTTGTATGTTTCTCCCTCAGTATGTCTCTTTTAGTACTGGATGAACAATAATTCTGAGAAAACATGGGAAAAAAATTTTTAAGATTATTTATTTATTTGAGAGCAAGAGGAGTCAAGTCAGGGCAGGGGCAGAGGGAAAAGGAGGAGGAAAAAAGCAGATTCCCTACTGAAGTAGGAGCCCAACTCAGGGCTTGTTCCCACCACCCTGAGATTATGACCTGAGCCAAAATCAAGAATCAGACGAGCTCAACCGACTGAGCCACCCAGGTACCCCACAAAACATGGAAATCTTTTAATCTACCCTCCTAACTTTTAGGATCTCTGGCCCTTTGATCAGCAGTTTGGGGATACTTTTCTGCCTTATAGAAGGATATAAAGGATATAAAGTTCTTTAGCCCTGGAATAGATAGTAGAATAGAAAGGAATCAGATACTGGATAATGGGAAGACATTAAACTTTTTGGAAACCTTGGAAAGAGGCAGATGTTCAGAAGGGTTGCATCTTGAAAAGCATCATAACAAGCAAGAGGGTGTTCATTCAGTAGACAGTGGAGACCACATGAGGGTGAACCACTGTCTTAGAAAGGGTTTATGGTGACAAGTGAAGGAGAGGAATGTAGATAAAAATAGGAAAGTTAGCAAAAAGTAAAGTCTAAGACTTGCCATGCCTAAAATGATCTGTATCTCTTCTCTCCTAAACCCATAGAGCATCACTCGTAAGAGACGTTACGTGGCCTCCGTGTCCCTACATGACCGGATCTATGTAATTGGTGGCTATGATGGTCGTTCTCGCCTCAGTTCAGTGGAATGCCTTGACTACACAGCAGATGAGGATGGGGTCTGGTATTCCGTAGCCCCTATGAATGTCCGACGAGGCCTCGCTGGAGCCACCACCCTAGGAGGTATGCTTGGTGTGCAGGGCATTGTTTCCATTTTGTTGTGGCTGGATCAGTGTTCATACCTCTCCTGTTAGCTGGCAGGAGTGTGAAATGTGGAAGATACTGGTAAGGATAAATATTCCTTTTTGCTTTTGGAAATAGTAATGTTACCAAAGCTTTTCAGTATTAATGGATATTTCAGCACTGACAACAGAGTTGGTAAATCAAGTTCCATGTGCTGAGTGGAGAATTGGCCCTAGTTGTATTTTTGCAAACTCGAGCCAGTCTTTGAGGATTCCATCTGACCCCATTCTTTGTAGGTGTCCTTTTTTTTTTTCCCCCTTAGATTTTATTTATTTATTAGAGAGAGAGAGAGAGTGCACGCACAAGTGGAGAGAGGGGCAGTGGGAGAAACAGACACCCTGCTGAGCAGGGACCACCCCCCCCCCAATCTCAGGGCTTGATCCCAGGACCCTGATAGCATGACCTGAACCAAAGTTAGACACTTAACCAACTGAAGCGCCCAGGTACCCCTAGATGTCTTTTTTTTTTTTTTTTTTTTTTTTTTAAGATTTATTATTTTAGAGAGAGTGCAGGCACATACTAGCAGGGGTGTTGTAGGGGTAGGAGCAGAGGGAGAGGATCTCCAGCAGACTCTCTGCTGAGCACAGACCCTGACATGGGGCCCAATCCCACAGTCCTCCTGAGATCATGACCTGAGCCAAAATCAAGAGTCAGTGCCCAAGTGACTGAGCCACCCAGGTACCCCATCTTTTCAGATGTCTTAACTGTGATGTCTTCCTTCCTTATCTATAAGACTTGACTTACCCATGAAAAACACTTTGTTTTTGTTCCCAAACATTTGAAGTACTTGTGGGGAATTTATAAAGAGAGGAGTTATTAGAAATCTCTCATCTTCTAATAGTCTGTGATTCATTCATTCTGAGCAGATATGATCTATGTGTCCGGAGGCTTTGACGGAAGCAGGCGTCATACCAGTATGGAGCGATATGACCCAAACATTGACCAGTGGAGCATGCTAGGAGATATGCAGACAGCCCGGGAGGGCGCCGGCCTGGTTGTGGCTAGCGGAGTGATCTACTGCCTAGGTATTCAGTCTGGGAGGCAGCAATGGGAGGGAACTTAATGGGTGGCAACTTCTAGGTGGGGATCCCTTTTTTTTTTTTTTTTTTTTTTAAGATTTTTTTTTTTTTTATTTGACAGATCACAAGTAGGCAGAGAGGCTGGCAGAGGGAGAGAGGGAAGCAGGCTCCCTGCTGAGCAGAGAGCCCAATGCGGGGCTTGATCCCAGGACCCTGAGATCATGACCTGAGCCGAAGGCAGAGGCCCAACCCACTGAGCCACCCAGGCGCCCCTGTGGATCCCTTTTTAATAAAATAAAGTTCATAGACTTTTTCAACTAAAATCCTAGTCTATCCTCATATCTTTTCTCTTAGCTGGGACTGTCTTTTTTGTGGAAGCAGAAATTAGGGTACCGTCAGATTTCTCTCCAGATTATTGAAACTCTTAAGAACTGAAATTAAAAGAACTAGTTGAAACACCCAAGAGAAAGGCAGCCTGGGAATGGGCATGAGGATTTCCCATTCTTTCTGAAACGCTCTCTGCTTTTTCAGGAGGATATGATGGCCTGAATATCTTAAATTCAGTTGAGAAATATGATCCCCACACAGGACACTGGACTAATGTTACACCAATGGCCACCAAACGCTCTGGTAAGACCAGTCATATCTAAGGGAAAGGAGAGTAGACCATGCTGACAAATCTTTACATTTTGCAGGGGTGCTGCAGTCAAAAATGGGGGATCAACAAATCAGAGTTAAAGTTCTTTCTTCACTGTACACTTAAAGTAAAAGGAGTGAGGTTCTGTTCTCCTCTTTGTCTATCTTTTATCACTATCTTTATTATCACTAGATAGTGATAATAAAGACAACTAGATAATTCTAGGCCTGTCTGGCCCTAGTCCACATCCCTCAACTACCTTAGAGTTCAGCTAGCCATCAGTGATCATGTTTTGTTTTTAGAATTCTGATCCTAAGGTTAGTAGTATTCACTTGCTATGCCTTTTTTTCCCCCAGGTGCAGGAGTAGCCCTGCTGAATGACCATATTTATGTGGTAGGGGGATTTGATGGTACAGCCCACCTTTCTTCTGTGGAAGCATACAACATTCGCACCGATTCCTGGACAACTGTCACTAGTATGACCACTCCACGATGCTATGTAGGGGCCACGGTGCTTCGAGGGAGACTTTATGCTATTGCAGGGTAAGGATTTGGAAGCCAGACTAAAGTTGTCATGCATCCAGGACCAAATGATCCGATCCAAATCCTTGGATCAAGACAGACTTTAGGTTGGGGGAGACCTCTCCAGTGACAGCCTTTAATGTAGGACTGTATGGAAAGGAAGAGAAAGTTTATTTTCTTCTTTTGCTTCTTCCCCACTCAGATATGATGGGAATTCCCTGCTGAGTAGCATTGAGTGCTATGACCCTATCATCGACAACTGGGAAGTAGTGACATCCATGGGAACCCAGCGCTGTGATGCTGGCGTGTGTGTTCTTCGTGAGAAGTGACCACTGTTGGAGCACCATCCAGAGCTAGTGACCAGTCCAAGGGGGACAGTTTATGGGAGAGTCAAGGATCCTTTCCAGAATATCTATTTCTCACTGTGTGCACAGGATGATTACAAGCACCAGCGCAGTGATGATTGTACTTACTTGACACACACTCCGCCTTGCGCTGGTAGTTGTCCCTGAGGAGGGTGGGTAACAGACACTCAAGGGAAGACCGTGCACACCGAATGGATCTGAGAGGCCAGATCACCTCTCCTTCTGGTGTAAAGAGCACTCTCGTGTGCTCAGGAGAATCTGTATCTGTTGTGCCTCATGTATTGCAGAGAAGGATGGTGAGTGTGACCTACTAGATGTGGGCAGTATCCAGCGTGTAGATGATTGGAAGGATACGAACTTGAGTAAGCTGGGTAAAACCCAAGTCTTGTTTTCCAAGAATATCTTTCCTAGTCTACAGTAGCTAGGGACAACACAATTCCATTCTGGAGAATAACAAAGGGGAAAGCCGCCTGTCAAAATCTGGGGGGCTTGGGGAGAGACCTGGCACTTCCTTAAGGGACAGGGTTGGTATATCAGGACTGGGTTTAGAGTAAGGGAAGTCAATGGAATTTGATGGAATGTGAATGAACCTAGAACACCACTGAAGTATAACCTGGAAGACTTACAAGGGTGTATTATTGGAAGGATCTTTTTATTTCCCCATGGTCTTTCTGAACTAGAATGGTGTGCATCTTGGCACTGGAGACTGACAGAATAAGAGAGAACAAATGTTGGGGTGAACAGATAACAGAATAAATGTGGGAGTTCGCTATGCCTGGGAACAAACTAGAAGTACCTGTGATTTTACAGTCGTCTCATTTCCTGCCAGGGCTCGCCTATCCATGGCATGGTTTGCCCTGAGTGGGTGAGACACTCTTTCTGTGTTGAATCAAATACTACTACGCTATTATACTTCGTTACTATTTATTTGAGGATGGGGTGGGGTGCAGCGGCCTACAAATGCAGCTGCCCGATTACGGCCCCGTTTCTTTTAAGGGCACACTCCTACTGAGGAGTGCTTTTTTACTGCTGTGTTTGGTACAATGAGTGCTTTTCCTACTAGAAAGTTCCCTCACCTGTCCTTAGAGTGGATTTTACTCATCCCAGGACAGAATAATCAAGAACAACCAAAATCCTTCTGTTAGTTCCAGTACTTGGTATTGCCATTTCTGAGCCACCATGCAAGGCTCCCCTGTGTTTTGGAGTGAAATTCTTGATTTTGTGGGTATTGGGAGTGTTGGGGATGTGATAACCTAAACAAGGATGCACTTTCCCTTTATTCCAAAATTCCATTTTTTCCTCTTTCCCTGAGTTGTATTGACCTCAAGAGTTCATTTCCTTTGTATTTTTTTAAGAAAATATTAAAAATCAATTGTCTCAAATGCCTGTAAGAGAGTTTATGGCTAACCAGCACTGTCTTGCAGATATTGGGGGAGCAGGCGGTCAGCTGTATGTCCTTTCTCTTCTTCCCGTTCACCTTACGTGTTAGCCAACTAGCTCTTCTGTGTTTCTCTGTTAGACATGGGTAAGAGGTAGCCTACCCCTTTACCCTTGTGGGTAAAATATTTATACAAAAATGGCATAGGTACCGACTCCTCTCATACTTGGAGTTTACTTGAAAGCCAAACAGAATAAAGAGGACTCAGTTTTGAGCTCATTTAGTACGTACCCTCTTGACTTTTAGGATTTTATTCACTCTTCGCTTAGAGTTATGTCACGTGACGTAAACAGCTATCCGGAAGGCCTGCCCTGCAACACTGCAAAAAATCCTGATATTTCCAGAGAAAAGGGAAGGGGGAGCCAAAGAGGAAGTTATTTTCTCTAAAGGAGCCTGCCAACCTTTCCTCAGCAGATGGATTGTGCCTGCTGATCAGACCACAGCTATGAAACATGTGACTCCTCCTATCAGGAAGAGATCCAGGGGAGGCAGGGAAGTGAGGGGGTAAAAAGAACTGCTGGCTATCTTTACTGCTGACTTTTGTGAGTTTCAGACCAAATTCCCAAATAGTTCATATATGGCAGCCACAACTAAATATTCTGCAGAAACTGAAACTCTTTGCTCTCTTTCCACTCCTCCCAGTCTTACATGCTTTGCTCATGCATGTACAGAGGTACCCCTAATTTAGAGGTTCTTCTTGTTTTTCTAGCTCTCTTAGATGGCAGCCAGCCACTTAGTTATCCTGTCTCAGAGATCTGTCATTTATCTTGTGTCACCCCTATTACAATACAGACATCCAGTTCTAGATTACATGATTTTATCTTTTAAAGTTCCAAATACATTCCTATATTTGTATTCCTTCTGCTACTGCATAGTTCAGGCCTGTATCTCTTGCCCAGACTCCTGGAGTAAGAGCCTCCTGATAGTTTTACCTATACTCTTCCAGTCTAGAACCCCTCCATTTTGTCATCAGTGATCTTCCTAAAGTACAACTAGGATCATTACAATACCTAACATACAGCAAATTTTCAGAGAATATCAAAGTTATTCCTAGCCCAAAATTCTATTGATTCACATTGCCCATATTACAGAGATCAAATTCCTGGGGCGCCTGGGTGGCTCAGTGGGTTAAAGCCTCTGCCTTCGGCTCAGGTCATGATCCTCAGGGTCCTGGGATCGAGCCTGCATTGGGCTCTCTGCTCAGCAGGCAGCCTGCTTCCCCATCTCTCTCTGCCTGCCTCTCTGCCTGCTTGTGATCTCTGTCTGTCAAAAAATAAATAAAATCTTAAAGTTCAAATTCCTTCACGTGACTTTAGACCCATGGTGCTCTGGGCCCGCTCTACCATTCTGATCTTTCTTCCCTCTACTATTCTCTCTTCCCGTAGGTATAGGTAGTTCAGTGAACTACTAACCGTTCTTAAATTTGTTCTCAACTTTGTTCAGGTATTCTGCTGTTCTTCTATCTGAAATAATCTTGCTTTTCAAAAAAAAAAAAAAAGTCCTAGTCACATTCAGATGCCTTATTCAAATGTCACCTAGGAAAAGACTTTCTGACTCTCCAGGTGGGGATTATTCCCTAATCCTGTCTTCCATTTACTTTGTTCCCATGGTAGTCTATCACATGTCATTGGTTTGGAGTATGACTTCCTGTTTAGACTATGTTCTCAAATATAGGGTCCCTATTACCATTGTATTGTCAGGGTGTAATTATATTACAGAACGTCTCACTAAATGTTGAATTACTGGGGCGCCTGGGTGGCTCTGGGTTAAAGCCTCTGCCTTCGGCTCGGGTCATGGTCCCGGGGTCCTGGGATCGAGCCTCACGTCGGGCTCTCTGCTCAGCAGGGAGCCTGCTTCCTCCTCTCTCTCTCTGCCTGCCTCTCTGCCTACTTGTGATCTCTGTCTGTCAAATAAATAAAGTCTTTAAAAAAAAAAAATGTTGAATTACTGAAGGACAAAGAGGAAGAAGAAAAACATGCAGATGGTGGTGGTAGGTAGTAGATTAGACATTACCTAATCAATAGCTTAGTTCCCCTTCATATTCTCCTTCCCTTGCCATTTCAGGATATCCATGGCCTAATGCACTAAAACGGGCAAGCTAGAGATCTAATCAAATGGAACAGGAAAGTATAGTGTAATGACCAAGAGCAGTGGCTTTAGAGCCGTGCCTGGATCTATTGACCCTGGAAAGTAACCCTTCTGATCTTTACCTTTCTCAGTTGTGCCCTGGGAGTAATTAGTGACAACCCCATAAGGAAATGTGATAATTCAATAGGTTTGTTTCTAAAGCGTATCAACATGGTGTTTTGCCACATAGTAAACAGTATGATCAGAACAGAGACCAGCAATTAAAGTTTCCAGGCACCTTTTTCCAACACCAAAAAGGTACATGTCCCTCTAAATAGTCTTTTACTGAAGGAACTAACGTGGATAAGACTTGCTGATGTGTAGTGTGACCCGGATTCCCTTCACGTCGCCTCCAGAAACGTCCCCATTCGTTCCTAAGACTAAATTTAAATTTCAGTAAACAAGATTTGGTCAACTTTAGTGAATTACCTACCCGGGTTTTACTCAATAATAAGGGAAGGCCGGTGACCAGGTGAGTATGAAGAGAGGATTTGTCACGTCCCAGGAAGTGAGTGACCCTGTCACAAAGCCGGCGGACACCTAACCACTCAGGTTAAGCGATGAATGGGGCGCTTGCGCAGTAGAATCCAGAACGGGGGAAGCGGACGCCTGCGCAGAGCGGGAGTGGTCTCACGCTCCCCGCCCCGTCTCGGAAAGCCGCGCCAGCGCAGTTCCGAAAGATCCCGCAGAGACAGCGCCTGCGCGGCCGTGGCCGAGGGAGCCGTGGCGGTAGCGGTGATGGAACCAGCCGAGCCGCTGAACGACTTAGTGTCAGCCGAGGGCCGAAACCGGAAGGCGGTGCTGTGCCAACGCTGTGGCTCCCGGGTGCTGCAGCCAGGAACCGCTCTCTTCTCCCGCCGACAGGTAGGGAGGCCGGTTGGAGGCGGCTCACACCCGCGCGTCTTCACAGGGGCCGCGGCGGCTGGAGTCCCGTTCCCCGCGCGCGTTTCCGGAGACCGCGCCCCTAGTCGCGGCCCGGCTCCGCCCGAGGCTTTCCACGCCGGAGTTGCGGCAGGAGCGCAGCCCGGGGCCGGTCTCCCGGGACGGCCGACCCCCGGCCCCAGCCCGGCGCTAGGTGTGGACGCTGCAGCTCCGCGTGCGGAGCTGAGCCGAGCCCGCCGGCTTCCGAGGGCCCGGCGCGCCGGGACGCACGCTGCGGAGCGGCCCGATGGCGCCCGGTGTACCGGCACTCCCGGCCCGCATCGCGCCGCACCGCCGCTTTTCCAGACGTCGGGCGGCCTCTTCGCTCCAGGGGGAGCTCCCGAAACAACTTTAGTGTAGGGCTTGTGACAGATGCCTCCCGTGACCTACACGCTTTACCAGGGTACTGGGTGGAACGCAGAGTTTCCCACACGAATCCTGTTTCAGGTGGGATGGACACCTCAAGTCAGTTTTGAAGGAAGATTTAATTTCTGTTTTAATCTTTTCTTCAAGGTACGAATTGTGATCTGTTCATACTGTCATCACCCCCCAAAGGGGAACGCTGAAAACAGTTTTTGTATTTTGGTGAATTTTTATTGAGGTGTAGCATACCCACAGGAAAGTGCAAAGTATAATCTCATTCCAGCTATGTGCATACCCTGTCACTCAGAATTGTCCCTAAAAATATGCTCTGCACTCATGACCTAACGCACTGGGAGTTAGGTATCAACATAAGAATGGGGGGGGGGCCACACTCAGTCTATAACAGGGTGCTACTAGCAGCTAGTACTGAGAAACCAGGAATGCTGCCAGGCATCCCGCAAAGCCTAAGACACCAACCTCCCTCCACCTGGCCCCACAACAAAGAATTCTCCATCCCAGAATGTCAGTAGTACCAAGATTGAGAAACCATGGCCTAAAGACTACAAAGCTCATTCACATGTGTAATCCCAGTTGAGTTTACAGTATCGTTAGTATTTGTCGTTTATACCACTAGCCTGTGAGGTCCTGTATCTTACCCACCTGCGTATCTCCCACACTTAAGACTGGGCACATAGGGGTGCTTGGGTGGCTCAGTGGGTTAAGCCTCTGCCTTCTGCTCAGGTCATAATCTCAGGGTCCTGGGACTGAGCCCCACACCAGGCTCTCTGCTCAGCCGGGAGCCTCCTTCCCCCTCTTTCTCTGTTTGCCTCTCTGCCTACTTGTGATTTCTCTCTCTGTCAAATAAATAAATAAAATCTTCAAAGAAAAAAAACACACAGTGCACATAAGATAATAGTAGATAATTAGATTTAAATAAATTAGTGAACAAAAGCTATTAGCCCAGTGTAAATAATGAGTTAGCAGGGAGAGAATGGATTAGTATGCCACTGCTGGTGCAGCATGTGTTCTTTGTAAGTCCTATAACTTTTGGGGTTTTTTTAAGATTTTATTTTTTTTTTATATTTTATTTACTGTTTTATTTTATTTATTTGGTGCAACATGTGTTCTTTGTAAGTCCTATTAACTGTTTAAGATTTTATTTATTTTGGGCGCCTGAGTGGCTCAGTGGGTTAAGCCTCTGCCTTCTGCTCAGGGTCCTGGGATCGAGGCCCGCATTGGGCTCTCTGCTCAGTGGGGAGCCTGCTTCCCCCACCACTGTCTCTCTGCCTACTTGTGATCTTTCTCTGTCAAATAAATAAATAAAATCTTTTTTTTTTAATCTTTAAAAAAAAAAATTTTTTTAAGATTTTATTTATTTATTTGGAGGGCAGAAAGCAAGCACAAGCAGGGGGGGCAGGAGGCAGAGGGAGGTGCAGGCGCCCCGCTGAACAAGGAGCCCGCCGTGGGGCCCGATCCAGGATCCTAGGACCACAACGCGAGCTGAAGGCAGCCACTTAACCAACTGAGGCACCCAGGTGCCCCTATAGCTGGTTCGGTTTTACATATAAAATGTTCATACCCTTGAATTTGGTACTCCTTGAAATCTTATCTAAAATTGATGACAGAGGAAATTATAATGAAGCCGAACAGAGATGGAGGGAACAGCAGTGTGATGTTTCGCTGTTGTTAGAGGAAGTGTAGTATGTTTGAAGAACTAAAAAGTTCAACTTGGCCAGAACACAGGACGTAATAAAACTGGCAAGAAGTGAGGCCAGATGGAGTTGAGGGGATTGGAATAGAGGAGGTGAGGGAGCTCTGGGGAGGACTCATCCCCTTGCGGGGTAGAAGCCCATCAGTGAGGGTAGGATGTGGAATCAAAAAGTTTCCTTTTTGGAAGCTAAGCCAAGTGCCAGTCAGCTGTATACTACAGGGTGACGAGGCCACCTCAGATGACCGTGACTGGTCACCAGATGGCAGAAACCTTAAAGGAGCAAAGGTGGATGTGAGGATGTAGGAGTAATAATTTGGAAGCAAGAAGAGCACTGGTTCCCATTCCCCATCCAGAAGTAGGAGGAGTGTCAGAGAATGGGCAGCACCCAGGAGTCAGTGGCAGTGTCCTTGGCCAAGAGCCTTATTTCTTTAAAGACAAAGAGAAAAGGGAAACACTCACCAGAGTTTGAGAATGTAGGAAAGAGTGATGATGTTATAAGAGAAGAGGGTAATTTCCTTTGTTCCATTTTTTGGAGCGGGAGATTCATGGCAGGAGTGGGCAGTGGAAGATTAACTCAGAGAGAGGAGGTACTGAGCGGTGTCTGGTGAAGAATATGAGAGCAGAGGACCTGAGAGCGCACCCAAGAGCACTTTCTTCTGAGGCAAAACACGTCCTTAATCCACGACCCAGCCAGTACACTGTGGGACCTGTGTCCTGGGGAAATGAAAACCTATGTTCACACAAAAACCTGTACATGAACGTCCATTGCTCCTTTATTCATAATATCCCCGAAATGGAAACAGCCCAGGTGTCCTTCAACGGGGGAATGACTAAAGAGACTGGTCAGCCATCCGCTGCAGTGAACGACAGTGGAGTGACCTAGTATGCATACAACTTGGACACATCTCCAGGGAATTCTGCTGAGTGAAAAAAGCCAGTCCCCAAATATTACATACTATATGATTCCATTTCTGTGCCGCTTTTGAGTTTTAGAAATGGAGAGCAGGCGAGTGATTCCCGGAGTTAGGAACGGGGGGCTGGGGGCTTTGGTGAGTCTGGTTAAAAAGGTGATGAGAGGGATCCTCCTGCTGGTGTCTTGACTGTGGTAGTGGAGACATGAACTTACCCAGGGTAAAATTGACAGAACTCTATATACACACGTTACGCACAGAAAGGAGTCCAAGTAAACTGGGGACATCTGAATGAAAGCAGCGGAGTGTATCCGTGTTGATGTCCTGGTTGTGATTTTATAATCTGGTTTTGCAAAATATTACCATCAGGGGAAACTGTATTACCAAAAAGAGGGTACGTGGAATTTCTGTATTGTTTCTTTTTTTTTTTTTAAGATTTTATTTATTTATTTGACAGACAGAGATCACAAGGAGGCAGAGAGGCAGGCAGAGAGAGAGAGGGGGAAGCAGGCTCCCTGCTGAGCAGAGAGCCCTATGCGGGGCTTGATCCCAGGACCCTGAGATCATGACCTGAGCGGAAGGCAGAGGCTTTAACCCACTGAGCCACCCAGGCGCCCCTGTATTGTTTCTTAAATAGAAATAGTATATATGTCTTTCTATTATTTCCTCACTACATGTGAACCTGTAATTACCTTAATAAAACTTTAGGGGCGCCTGGGTGGCTCAGTGGGTTAAGCCGCTGCCTTCGGCTCAGGTCATGATCTCAGGGTCCTGGGATCGAGTCCCGCATCGGGCTCTCTGCTCAGCAGGGAGGCTGCTTCCCTCTCTCTCTCTCTGCCTGCCTCTCTGTCTACTTGTGATCTCTGTCAAATAAATAAATAAAATCTTTAAAAAAAAAAAACTTTAAAACTGATTAAACATTTTAAAAATCAAGACATTATGCTAAGTGAAATAAGCTAGTCACAAAAAGACAACTACTGTATGATCCCACTCTTATGAGGTACCAAGGGTAGTCAGATTCACAGAGACAAAAAGCACAGCGGTGGTTGCCATGGACTGGAAAATGGGGAGTTGGTGTTTAATGGGTACCAAGTGCCAGTTCGGGAAGGTGAAAAAATTCTAGAGGTGGATGGGGGTGATGGTTACAGTAACACCATATATGATATTTAATGTCACTAAACCACACATTAAAACGTGACTTAAACAGTAAGTTTTAGGGGCACCTGGATGGTTCAGTTGGTTGAGCGCTGAGCGTCTGACTCTTGATTTTGGCTCAGGTCATGATCTCAAGGTCCTGGGAAACCCTATCCCCAACCCCCATCAGCCTCCACTCTCAACAGGGAGCCTGCTTGAGGATTCTCTTTGTCCCTCTTCCCCCTTCTTCTGCTCACGCTTGGTCTCTCTTTCTCTCTGAAATACATACAGTCTTTTTAAAAATTGCTAAGTTTTATGGTATGTATATATAGTTGATCACAAAAAATTAGGAATTAGAATGGAACATGCATCTCAACTATGTTAGGCAATATTCTAGTTCTCTGTTGCTACGTAACAAAACCACCCAAGACTGGTTACTTAAATTATTAACATTTATTTTGCTTTACAGTTTGGGGAGTTGACTGAGCCTAGCTAGACGGTTCTCATTTGGGGTCTTTCGTGTGCAGTCAGAAGGGCCATCTGAAACGCTCCCTCCCTCATGTGTCTGCCTGTGGCCTGGGAAGACTCACACACCTGAGCACTGGAACAGGTTCCAGGGGCCTCTCTCTCTCCCCACGGGGGCCTCAGAAGCTGCAGTTCTTACATAGAAGCTGAAGGCTCCCAGAGCAAGTGTTCCCACAGAAACCGCCAAAAGCAGCCTGGCCTTTTCTAAGCTAGCCTGTCACCTCCCTCACACTTGACTCATCCGGACTGGCACAGCAGGCTGCCCAGGCTCAGGGAGAGAGGCATGGACTCTGCCTCCTAGTGGAAGGATTGTCAAAGAATTTGTGCACGTCTTAAAACCACCACAAAGGGACGCCTGGGTGGCTCAGTTGGTTGGGCGGCTGCCTTCGGCTCAGGTCATGATCCCAGCGTCCTGGGATCGAGTCCCACATCGGGCTCCTTGTTCTGTGGGGAGCCTGCTTCTCCCTCTGCCTCTGCCTGCCACTCTCTCTGCCTGTGCTCGCTCGCGTTCTCTCTCTCTCTCTCTCTCTCTGACAAATAAATAAAAAATCTTTTAAAAATAAATAAATAAATAAATAAAACCACCACAAATACAGAAGGGAGAAAATTTCAAAAAAGTTACCAGAAGTTTACTCTGTATTGTAACAGTTTTTATTTTCATCTATATTGTATGTAGCATGCTTGCCAAGTTTTCTACCATGAGAATGGATTTTTACAAAGAGAAAGAAAGTATTTTTAAAAGGGTACTTACCGGGGTACCTGGGTGGCTCAGTGGGTTAAGCCTCTGCCTTCAGCTCAAGTCATGATCCCAGGGTCCTAGGATCAAGCCCCACAATGGGCTTTTTGCTCGTAGGGAGCCTGCTTCCCTTCCTCTCTCTCTGCCTGCCTCTCTGCCTACTTGTGATCTCTTTCTGCCAAATAAATAAATAAAATCTTAAAAACTAATGAAATGAAAGGGTACTTACCAGTTTTTTTTCCCTTTTCAAAGATTTGCCTGCTGCCCCCCCCACTTGTGCTCTTCTCTCTCTCTCTCTCTTTTTTTTTTTTTTAAGATTTTATTTTTATAAATCCCAGAATCCTGGGATCATCACCTGAGCCAAAGGTAGACTCTTAACTGACTGAGCTGTCCAGGCTCCCCTGTTAGCAGTTCTTGAAAAAGCAAAAGGAGTTCTGCTGACACTCTCACTCACTGAGGTGGGATGTTCTACATCTCTTTGAAGAGATGGTCCAGGATTAGGGTACTGGCTAGGGTCTTGAGCAGCTAACCCACCTGGTCAGGGAGGGAACTGGCGACTTTGGCCCCCAACCAGCTGAATTAGCAGCCTCAAATTAGATAATATCTTGATTTCCACCCCAGTGGTCAGTCTAGAAAGCCTAATTGTATTCCAAATATTAGATCCCAGAACTTGACCCTGCAGTAGCCCTGGGCGCTGCAGAGAATGGGTTGGGATCCACACAGATACGTGTACAACGTACACATAAATAAGTCTAGTCTTGTGGGTCTGACTTACATGATTTAAATAAAAATGGGTATGTTGAGAAAGAAAGGGAACGGGACCCAGTCTGACCCCTTGAATGAATGATTAATAGTATTTCCTTTAAAATCTCTACTCAAAAGAGGGGAGTCTGGGTGGCTCAATCATTAAGCATCTGCCTTTGGCTCATGGTCATGATCCCAGGGTCCTGGGTTCAAACCCTGCATCAGGCTCCCTGTGGGAAGCCTGCTTCTCCCTCTCTCATTCCCCCTGCTTCTCTATTCCCTCTCTTGCTGTGTCTGTCTGTCAAATAAATAAAATATTTTTTAAGAACAATGTTTTAAAAATCACTACTCAGGGGAACCTGGGTGGCTCAGTGGGTTAAAACCTCTGCCTTCAGCTCAGGTCATGGTTCCAGGGTCCTGGGATCGAGCCCCGCATCGGGCTCTCTGCTTGGCAGGGAACCTGCTTCCTCTTCCCTCTCTGCCTGCCTCTCTGCCTACTTGTGATCTTTGTCTGTCAAATAAATAAATAAAATCTTTAAAAAAAGAAATAAAAAATAAAAAATCACTACTCAAAAGGGACTGCAGAGGTGTTTGGGATTATAAAAAAATAAACAAAAGACAGTGGGAGGGAAGCTGGTGCTCCTTTGTTAGACACTTTTTAAACTAATGTTTAAAAAGTCTTTGATATTTCTCCCCTTAAAGTTTCACTCGCCTTCTGTTTAGTTAAGATGTTGCTTTCACACCTACACTATAGGCCAGAAATACTTGTAGGGAAGTTTAGGCCCACAGAGAGATAGAGCTAGGATTGGAACCCAGGTTTCCCGGTCCCTGAATTTTGATTCCTCTTCGCTTCTGCCTGTTCCCATTTTCACTTAGGGTAAAACAAAGCATTGGGGCCTCATTTAAACATTAGATGAGGTGAAAAGGGCGACTGGAATGACAATGTAAGAGGAGGAGGGACTGCCCTCTTTTGTGACATCCTCAAATGCTGTCTCAGGTGACACACCATAGGGTAGTGCACAGATGCCTGTGCTTGGGAGATGGGGAGTAGAAATGTTATGGATCCGTGCTCCCTCCTCCTTACAGTGCTCCCTCCTCCCTATTAGGGCCAGCCACTGGCTAGAATCTGGTCCAGACTTCAGAGGTGCAAACTCCAGGGTATTGAATACAAACCAGCAGCTCTGTGGTTCCCTAACTGTAGCGTTCAGGAAGAGAATTGTTCATCTGTCCCAAAGCATTTGTCTCTTTTGGACTAATGTCAGTACGGTTTTGGTTTTTTTTTTTTGTTTTTTTTTTTTAATTAAAAAAAATGTGTTTTTGCTTTTATTCTGCTTGCTAATGTCAGACTAGCTCACTGAGGCCATCCTGTTAGAGTTTGGGAATGCAATAGAAGTGTACCCTGGGGTGGAAAATGAGTACACTGGCAGCAGCCATAATGATGAGGGACAGAGTGGTAACAAGCTTTGCTGGCATCGTGTCTTCATGTACGCTGGGGCAGCTAAAGGTGTATAAATTAACCATAGAGAAAATATTAAAGGGTGTGTATGTGCGTGAAGCTTTATCCTAATGATCAGGAAGCCATGTTGATTAATGGGTACAAAGGTCGTTGGGATGATATTCCAAATTCTAGAACTAGATTTTCCTTTTTAGTGCTCTTTTTGTAAGATAAATCCAGCATATACGTAACACTATTAGAATAGAGCAAAGCCAGATATCCTGTATTTATTCATTTGATAAATATTTGAGTTCCTGCTCTGTATCCATTATTATTCTGGGCACCAGGGTTATAGTAGTGAATGGGAAAGGTGAGCTCCTTGCTTTCCTGGGGCCTACATTCCAGTGGAGGGAGACCCATGTCAATAACTAAGCCAATAAATTAGTAATTTCAGAGAATGATAAGCAATAAAGAGGTAGTGGCATAAAGAAACTTTTGGGGGTGACATCTTGCTGGTAATGGTTTATTAGTATTTGCATGGGCCAAAATGAATCAAATTATACACTTCAAGTATGTGCCATGTATGTGTCAATTATACCTCAGGAAAGGTATTTTCAAAAATAAAATACAGTGGGCAGTATGGGAAGCTAACTGAGATTGTTTGGTTAGAGACGGCCTCCTTGAAGAGGTTGCATTTGAGCTGAATATCATGAAGCCAGCCTTGCCAAGATCGGAGGGCAGAGCACACTCACCCTTTCTGCAGAAGGCAAGGCAAGGCAAGAAGGCCAGTGTGGCTGAAGCAGAATGACCTAGATGGAGATTAAGAACAGACAGGGCCTTACAGACCACGGTAAGGACAGCAGTAAAGCCACATGACAACAGCACATTACCTCTTTCATGTGTCTTAAGAAATCCAGGCATGGACTAGAGGCAACAGAAGAGCCACCCAACATCCTGGTCCATAACTTAGTCATTGGGCTGCTCATTTCGTTTTCATTCCAAGAAACTGCCAGGGAGCATGTGAAGTATTGCAGAATGTGGTGATGATGGGACCGGGCCGATCAGCTTGCGAATTCCTTGTGTTCTCTTCCACTGCAGCTTTTCCTTCCCTCCATGAGAAAGAAGCCCGCTCTGGCTGACGGCAGCAATCCTGATGGCGATCTCCTCCAGGAGCACTGGCTGGTTGATGACATGTTCATCTTTGAGAACGTGGGCTTCACCAAGGACGTGGGCAACATCAAGTTCCTGGTGTGCGCAGACTGTGAAATCGGACCAATTGGCTGGCATTGCCTGGATGACAAGAACAGTTTCTATGTGGCCTTGGAACGGGTTTCCCATGAGTAACTGAGGGGAGGGGAACGCAGCTCCAGCCGCGACTATAAAAGCTACTCCCCTCGAGAACTGGCATGTAAGCTGGTGTCCTTGCTCTGGCGCCGCCTTCTCTGTACTGATGTAAATGATGAGTATCGACATGTCCGGCTGAACATGCATAGAGCTGACCCCCCTTCCTTAAAGCCTCAAGTGCATGCCTCTTATGTAGCTCACTTTTGCAGCCCAACATCTCCTGATCTCCCTTTTCCCCCAGTTGCAGGACACTGGAACACGTCCACAAATCTCTCATCCCTGGCATCCCGCCTGGGCTCCCTGACCCTGGGCTCCCTTGTTTCTTGCTCTGTAAGAGCAACATCCAGCCTTTCAGCCAAGATGACACATAACAGCTGATGCTCGTGCTAATAGTTCAAATGCCACCTTTTTATCTCATTCAAGAAAGCATACAAGTGTCTGAGAGTGACTTTGTCATATGACTAACTTTATCTACAGTAATTTATTCTTTTTAAAAGCATAGCATTTACAGACTTTGGAATTTAAGCTACTACTAAGAAACACATTACTTTGGATACACCTGTAATACCATGTTTGAGAGCCGAGCCTCTAGGTGGATAGTGACTTTATATTGTGAAGATGAATATATCCCCTTTTCCCTTCAAATCTTGCCATGGTTTCTCTTTACATTATAGCCTGTAAGTTGAGAATCAGATTTCAACCCTATCTGGCAGCCAACCCAAGGAAAACTCAGCCCTGGCTTCGAAACAGAGTGGAGGATGCAGAATATAGGAGGGAGAGACCCTTGCCACATTGTATGTGACTTTGCAGGTTTGTCTTATCTGTGCAGGTAACTCTTTCCTTTGTTCTTAGGAAAGACTTCTCTGATGGATAGAGTCATCACTTACTGAACCTACCAGGCGTGCTCATCGGAATTTGGGTTCACTTGGAATCCTTGTACCAACCCAGAACACAGACTTTCTGTCCAAATGCCACTATCTCTAAGCTGTGGGGACTGCTCTAACAGTTCGAGGTTAGCAGACTGATTAACCCTTCAGTATGATTGTCACTTGTTCTGTCATTTCTCTTCTGAAATAACTCAACATCTTAGGAATTTCTGTGACCAGGTCTCAGGTGTCCTTGCATAAGCCCTACATCTAAGACTGAGGAGACCCTAGAATTGAAATAAGGACTAAACAGAAACCTTACAATCTACAGCCCCTCCTTCTGTATCTGTTCTCTGCTTGCTTCTGCCTTCTTTCTCCCAAGAACTTTTCTAAGGGCTCCCCAACTAAAAAGTGTGGGCCTTGGGCATGGTTTTGCAACCAACATACTCTAGAAAGGTGGCTTCCTTCCACAGTCATAGCCTCAGTGAGCTCTAGTTGAAAATGAGAGAACTGTTCTCTAGACAGTCAAATGTCCGTGATTATGGCATTTGCAGAAAAACAACTGTGAGAATTATCCACTCAGGTCAGAAGGAACAAAACCAAGTAGATGCCTCTAGGGGCACATGGCCCCTTCAATCACAAGCCAAAACCTAAGCAAAGGTTTTTTTTTTTTTTTTTTTTTTTTAATTAGATTTTTGACTTCTCTTTCCTTTTTTAATCACAGAAATAGTATGTGTTCACTGAAGATAAACACAAAAATGGGTATCAACATTTTCTTAATCCCTCATTTCCACCATCCAGAGATTGCTTCTGGTAGTGTGGTGAAACTCCGGTTCTCAGTGTTTTTCTAAATGTATATATAAACGTGTATGATTTTTTAAAATAAATACAATATCATACTCTGCTCTTTTACGACTTGCTTTTTCCATTTGACAAAATAATGACTTCCCATGTTAACAGATAACCATCCATGGACACCCTTGTTTTTAGCATTCCATTATATTTCTGTCTTATCATTTATTTAAACAATCTACTATTAGATTGTCTCCAGTTTCTTATAAACAATGTGATGTAATGTGTGACTTTATAGTTAAATCTGTATACACATTCGTAATTATTTCCTACATTATTAGAAGTAAAATATGCACGTTTTCATGGATTATTGACACATATTCTTTAGAAACAGCTGTGCAAATCCACCCTCCTCCAGCAGCGTAGACGAGCACCCATTTCTCTGAAACCTTCCTAACACTGGGTATTTATTATCGTTAAAAGAATATTTTGCCACTTTAATAGAAAAAGTATCTCCTTGTTTTAATTTGCATTTATTTTATGTTTAATGAAATTTTTATATACTTGCTGGTCATTTGTATTTTTTTCTAGAGAATTGCCAAATATTGTTGCCCGAATAGCCAAAAATATCAAGTTGTTATTCTGCCTTTGCAGTTTAATTGGAAATAAAAGCATTTAAACAGTAGAAATTAGATTCCTGTATGTCCTTGGGAAAAATACGCAATTTGAAAAAGCAGAGGAAAGCGGAAACCTGAACCTTAGGGTTTCTCTTGAGGTCTGTCAACTAATTAATTAATCGTTCAGTGTCCCTGCAAAATGAGGATGTCACCTCTTTGTTCCCCTTATGCATAATAGGCCCTCATTGGCTCTCAGGAAAAGACTCATGAAATCATTAACTGCTTTGTCACAGATAGAAGTGGCCCGTGAGTATAGAAACCTGCTGCTAGGAGTACAGAAACCAGCAGCTCCTGTTAGGGAGAGCAATTGATTTTTCCAAGGCCTAATTGTTTCTACAAAATTCTTTTAACACAGAGTCAAAGGCAGACAGGGGTGTACTGACATTTTCCATATCATTACTGTGCCATGTGTGAACCTACTCAGGTAACTTCTAAGTGTAACCTCGGTTCCTGATCATGGTAGATGGGTAATTTTGGATGACCATCCAACTGAGGGCAACTAGAAAGGCTGGACAAAGTATTTTAAATATCCAGAGGCCTCAGAGAGCTAACATGTGTTTGAAGAATTACTGGACCAGGACCACTGAGAAGATAGTGGCCCTGAGAACCGGACTCAGTACTACAGGTCACTCTTCCATTGGGGGCATTTGCAATGTGGAGAGGGGCAGGTCAGAGGCTGGTGGGTGACTGTGACAGCCTTCCAGAAGTAGGGGTCTGGGCCTGTCAGGGGGTGGTAGACTCGGTAAATGTTTCTCACATTGGGTCAAGGCTCTCAGTCCTTTGCACCCCAAGAACAGGGGTGAGCCAGAGTAGGAAATAGAAAGGCTCACTCAGGAGATGCATCTAGGCTTCCAATGATAGCAGTCCTTGAAATCAGATTAAGTTGATCCCAGAGTAGTGATTTCCCCAAACCCTTGGCATAAGCAGACAAAAACTCTCTCTGGAGAAAAAATGTCATCACCCTAAACTTTGACTTGTTTCTACAGTAATTTTGCTAATACAATATCCTGAATACAATAAAATGGAACCAAGCATATGGGACAAGATATTAAGAAAACCAGTGAAACAGGAGACCGTGGAAAGAGGCCCACAGGAGCCACAGACGGTGGAGCTCTCAAACACAGACTATGAAATAACTGCTTACTCTGTTCAAGGAGATAAACAAATTTAGGGAATTTGAACAGATACCTGGACATGTGAAAAAAATACAAATTCTAGAATTTCAAAAAATCCAATAACCAAAATAAAGAATTCAGTGGAAGTTGGTTTTGTTTTTTAAGATTTTTATTTATTTAAGAGAGAGAGCAAGAGTGAGAAGGAGCAGGGGGAGAGGGAGAAGCAGACTTCCCGCTGAGCACAGAGCCCTGGTGTGGAGCTCAGCCCCAGGACCCCGGGATCATTACCTGAGTTGAAGGCAGTTGTTAACCAACTGAGTCACCCAGCCATCCCTAGAATAAATTATATTTCCGATGCAATGAATAATAGTGGGTTAGAGGTCAGGTACAGAACTGTTGTTGTTTTCCCAATGCTTTTTGATAAAGACAATGAAAATTTGTGGTAGAGAATCATGCACAGAGTACATCTATGTGGTCATGACCACATCTAAGTCTTCACAGGGTAAGAAAATAAAGGTGTTAACTTCAGTATTGTCAATCTTTCCATTGTGACCAAGGTGTTCTTGTGTTCAGAGAGTTAAATTCCTGGAATATGTCAAAATGTGTCTAAATGTCAAAATTTAAGGTCGAGAGAAGTATCCACCCAGTTTGCTTCAAATCTATTGAAACTTAGAATTCATTTAGCCTTGTATAGAAACAATGTTATCCACGAGTAATTAGTAGCCAGTGACACAAAACTCCGTGTACCCAAAGCAAGGTGTTACAACCAGTGGTTCTAATTTTTGCACATCAGGAACAAGTCGTCTGCAACAATTAGAGCAGGGTCCCTTCAAAATCCAGACCTGGTGACCCCAGACATCCTATTTCAGATATGCGGCCAGGATGAACCATTACCTGCGGGAACTGGTAAGGAGATTAAATGTGGGCTAGGGACACTTACAGTCCTAAGGAAGTGAGGGAAGAGTTACCAACTCCTGGTGGGTTTATACAATCCTTCCCTACTTTGTCCTAAATGGGTTCTGCTATGAGATGTGAAATAGGGACTGGGTGGAAAAGAGGTTCCATCCTAAGGAGCAGTTGCCCCAATCCCAGGGTAGGTGAATTTCAAGATAAGACAATAGGGGGAAAAGCGAGCTCACAGATACACCCAACTTTGGCAACTTTGCTAGAGTGGCCATGAATTGTTAGGTAACTCAGTCATTTGAAAAGCAGGTACTACTTCTACAATGTTGGCACTGACTCAAGAATGAATAGGTCAGGTATGGCCCTGGTGTCTCCCTGTCTACCTTGATTCTTCACCAGCAGATGAACAGGATATTCTTTTTTTTTTTTTTAAGATTTTATTTATTTGACAGAGATCACAAGTAGGCAGAGAGGCAGGCAGAGAGAGGGGGAAGCAGGCTCCCTGCTGAGCAGAGAGCCCAATTCGGGGCTCAATCCCAGGACCCTGGGATCATGACCTGAGCCGAAGGCAGAGGCTTAACCCACTGAGCCACCCAGGCGCCTTGAACAGGATATTCTTGTTCCCACAAAGCCTCTCCATCTTCTTTGTCCCTCTCTCACCCAGACGGGACTGTGGGTTTCCTTTCAATTCAGTGTTATTTGATTCTTTGTGGCAAGGCAGGACAGGAAGGAAGTACCTATCGGGAAAGGATACAGACTTATCAGGAATCTTTAGATTGTTTGAAACTTAGAGGTAACCATGACCTTTCCCTCTGAACTTCAGTATATCTTAAATTCTTGAAGAACTGTGTAAAAATGGCATGTCTGCAATGGCACTAAGCTTGAGATCAGCGGAGTAATATAGAGAAAAAGATGAAAGTTAGAAAAAGAATCTAAACTTTGGGGGGCACATGGGTGGCTCAGTGGGTTAAGCCTCTGCCTTTAGCTCAGGTCATGATCCCAGAGTCCTGGGATCGAGCCCCACATCAGGCTCTCTGCTCAGCAGGGAGCCTGTTTCCCCTCTCTCTCTGCCTGCCTCTCTGCTTGTGATCTCTCACTCTGTCAAATAAGTAAAATAAGATCTTTAAAAAAAAAAATCTAAGCTTTGCAGTCATCTAGATAACAAAAATAAATCCAAACACCTTATGAGAGAACTGATTTTAATCTGTGCTCTATAAAGAAGCACATTGTCAAGAGAGGTTGGTTTGTGTCATTTCCACAATAACACAGGATTACTGTTGCAAATATAGTTTTATTTGGGGGTAAAGCCCACTCACTGTATTCAATAATGAAACGGAAGGACATTTTGAACCGGCAGACGCTACAAAGCTGGTGGGATGAATACCTAATAGGACCAGGCAAGGAAGAGATGATGGTGTGGAGTTTATGCTTTTTGAGTTTATGGCCAGATAGCTTCATTTTAATCACTGATCTGCCCACATTCAGTAAGATGTAACATTTGAGTTGTTTTGCTTGGGCCAGTGACAGACAATGAATAACTATGTCTTAGCTTTGTATATCCAAGGGTTTTCAAAATACCTCTTTGAATGTTCAACCACACTCTCTCACCTTATCCCTTGACCAGAGACAACCACTTTAAAGCCAGCAGCCTCATAAAATACAAGGGTTGGGATCAAAGAACACACTTCAGAGTTTGAAGTTAACCTTTGCACCCTGAATTTAAACCACCAAGCCACCTAGACAAACATTTAGTCTCAAAAACATGTCAAGACACTTTTGAACGATATGTCTAGAGTCTTGTAGAGAAACAGGTGCAGGAATCCAGGGGGCAGCTGATTTGATGTCACACTGGTGAGTGACACAGTAACTTTATGTCTTCATGAGTTGTATCAACAGAAAGTCATTGCAGCTGCAGATTTTCCTAAAGCAACAATTCAAATCTCCAGGACTGACTGGCATAATCTGGGTGCAGTCGCCTTGCCAGCGGGAAGTGAGAACAGGAGGTGACAGATGCTTCAGACTCCTCTGGAATGTGCTGAACAAATGTTAAGGTAATCATTGTGGGGTGTCCAGATATTTGATTAAACCAAATGCCAATTAACCCTCCCAAGCTAAGAAATGGGCTAATTTGTTTCGCTTAGGTATTTAGAAGTAAGACCTCATCTTAGAA